TAATTATATATGTGTTATATCTAATAATCTATATTCTAAATAAAAAAATTCTTATGTGTTTTCAACTTTTCATGCATGGGAAACATAATAACATGCATGTTTTGATGCTATATTTATTATGTGTAGGCCTTCTAGGGTACAATCATGTCAATATTATTTTAGTATACACCTATAAGATATTTACATTATACTGAATTATTTTAGTTCCTACTTTTAGCCTAAAGACTAAAAGAGTATAGAGTTAACATTGCAGTCTCACTTCACTTCTGAGATCAGTGTTCTGGGAAAAATAGGGGTGGTTGGTTTATTGGATTTAATATGTTTTATGATTGAATTGTCTAAGTTATATCCTTATAATATTCAATTATTCGTGGCTATGCAGATTAAGGGGGATAAAACATCTTATATGTGGATACTCTTGTGATGTTTGTTGTTACTTTACAGGGGGATGTGTACATCCCTTGTGAAATGTGGATGTATTATATACAAGGAAAAAAAAAAAAAAAAAAAAGTTTTTTTTTTAATTTTTTTTTTTGTTTTTAATCAATTGAAAGTATGAAAATGTGAAATCGAACCGAACCTTTCCGGTTATTCACGGTTTGGACTGGTTTGGTTCCATAGACGTTATGATTTGCTCTAGTTTCAAAAATATTAGAACTGTTATTAGCGATTTGGTCCCAAAAAAACTCTCAATCAGGTCCAAATCGGACCGTTGACACCCCTACTTAGTGGTGGTAACACATGTTGTATCATATGTACCATTTAAGAGGATTTTAAAGTATTAGATTGAAGAGAATTATATGTTTAGATTTCAAATGAAAATGTGCAAGGAGTTAATTGAAATCAATGTCTACAAATATTCAAGGTGATTGTATTAATATATTTTTTCTATCTTAGAGCTTCGGAATTCAACTTCAAAAGCCAACTTTTTATGTAAACTCAAATATCATTAATTTCAATTTCAATTCATTTATCCAAATGAACCTTTATACGTTTTATTGGTGTCTCGTGAAGGCATTTTTGGGACTCTTTGGGTATGTCTCGTATTTCTTCAATCAATAACATCACATTTTACAAACCAAAAACTGAGCTTTATCAAAAGAAGAAAATAAAACTAATTGAAGGGGCACATGCAGGCTATGAAGGAGCTAAAAAGAAAGCGAAATTTAAGAAAAAAAATGATTGACTATAATTTTTGCAATATTAATTTAGAGGTATGATTCAAATTTCCAAAATGATTGACTATAATTTCTGCAATCTCAATTTGAATCATACCTCTAATTAACTTAAGATTTCCCACTATGAAATTTTTATTTTCTTATCAGTTTCACTATTAATTTTCATCGAACAGAACAGAACAGAACAGAACAGAACGTTTATAGTCAAGAAGGAAATGCTAAAAAGGTGATCCCATGGTAAATATTTGCAAAGCCTTGAATGTCTATATACAATTCTCTTACAATATGGGCCCATATCCATAAAGGAAGGTAACCTGGTTCGTACCTGCAAATGTTACTCTGGGCCTCTAAGAAGCCCAGGAAAGAAGAGAGGAGACATAGGATGGGCTTAAGAGCTTATTCATGCCTTTTGAGGCCCATCATCATAGGAGATGGACGATGGGCCCCACCGTCTATGGACCTTCGTTGAGAACCTACAACATTAAGCCCAAGGTCAAAATTTGAAAAAGCCATTAAACTCCAACGGTCAAAAGAAGGGGCAGCTGTTGGATTTCCAATTGCAGCCTCTGCTTGTCCACAAGGACACATTTAGAGAGTTGGACACTCTATTAATTAGGTCACTAAGTAATGTCCGCTTATTATATGCAGATATCATGTCCAAACAATATGTCCATAATTACATGGTCCAGTTTCATATGGTAATTTAATTTTTTTTTCCCACCCTGGCAAACAAATAGAGCACCATTACAACTTTTGAGCAACATCATTCACAGTGAGCAATAAAACATGACTCGGAATATGCACTAGTTCAACATCACGTTAAACATTATTTCTGGAGAGTTTTGTCATTGCAAGAATGATCTCGTTGCCATAGGATACGACCAACATGTTGAAGATCCTGGCCAAAGGAAAAAGTTAAAAAAAAAAAAAAAAAAAATAGAAGAAGAAGAAGAAGAAAGTAAAAACAGTCCATAAAATCTAATACCGAGCGCTCGACTGGTGTCCTCTGAGCGCTTGAATGGTACCATGAGCACCCCCAACACAAGCACGAGCTTGGGCACGGTCTGAGCGCTCGGGCCTAGCCTCCGAGTGCTCCGTAGGGAATTTCTAATGCCCAAGGCCGAGTGCTCGCAACACGGCAGCGAGTGCTCGAAGACCCCAGAAAATAAGTCTTTTGCCCCTTTTTACCTTCGTCCGACATTAATCCCGAGCCTAGTTGTGGTCATTTTTTACCCTTATCCCAACTCATAATCATGAGTGAATAAATAATTATCTTCATGATACATTGATGTCCAACATACAATTACGTCAATATACATCTTTTCTTCAAAAAAAAACTCACACCATTGAAAAATATGCATGTTAATATCTTTCTCAGCGATTACAAGCCCAAATATATTCAAAATGTAGTATAAAAGAATATAATTACAAGTTGAGTCCCTTGAGGTCTTAACTAGATTACTCCTATAAAAGAAGTAAAGTGCAAGAAAAAATACAAATATAAAAAGTAATTGCCGAAAGTAATATTCTGATGTTCGTCGTGGACTTTTACACATTCCCTTCTTCTTAAGGCTCCAACTTGTTGAAAGTAGTTGCAAATTCATATTTGAATTCAAACGAAACCTTAACAATCAGCGTTATTAAACAATTTATAAAGGAAATCTTTGATGATGTGGCACTCAAAAATGATTGCTGTCTTATGCTGATTCAAACTTTACTTCTAAATAGAAGTCTAGAAATAACCTTCAATTATCATGTTATATTTTTATTTTATTACTAGTATTATTATTTTCATTATAGATACCACTATCTGGCCGAACCAAATTTCATTTTAAAGGGGCGAACATAAAAATTAGGTGTGGTGTAAAAAATACTTTTAAAGTATATTTTACGTAACATTTATATTTTCTATTTGAAAAAGTGTATAAGAAATATTCCTATTCTTTTTACATTATACGAAAACAACTCTCAATAAAAAATTTAATTTAAATTAGTATTGTAATATTCGCTTCACCCTTTTATATTTTAAAAAATGTCCAAAGAAGTTTTATGTAATACCATTTTCTTGGTGGATTGGCACACTTCAATCTGGATTAGAACCAGATCAAAGTGGGTTTACCCGTGGGATCTGTTTTCGGCAGACCACATAGCCTTGCTCTTTTACATCAAGGTCCGGCGGTGACCCCTTTCTCTTCCTTTTGCTCCATTTTTCTTCTTCTTTTTATTTTATTTTATTTTATTTTATTTTTTATTTTTAAATTCCTTCTTCCCCCACCTTACCTCAAAACTCCATTAATGAACCTTGAAAGAATTGCCGATGAAGGCTGCCGGAGAGACAAATATTGAAGCTTTTCGGGTTGGTCATTGAAGTTTTTCCATTTTGGGTCTCTCGGTTGGCAAAGCTCATTTAAGAAGTATTGGGTCTCTCTATTTTTCATGAATCGAAGCACTGTTTGGATCTCAACCATGTTAACTTCATATCATGAGACCCGGCCTGAAGCTCGCGAACCACCACGTTGCCACCTCCTCCAACCTTGTCGGCACAAGCATTCTCCGACCGAGCTTCAGACCACCTGCAGGCGAGCTTCAAACCATGCATGAAACTGAAGGTTTTTTTTTTTTTTTTTTTTTTCTCTGGGCATCATCAAACGTTTCTCTCTCTCACTAAATGTTTCTCTCTGTAAAACTGAACTCTTTATATATATATATATATATTGATGAGCAATTTTAGTTTTACTTATTGAAGAACAAGACGATGAGATTCGGTCCATATATGAAGTGCCTATTGATTCTAAGAGTCTCAATAGTCAATACCAATTGTATTGTGGGATTATTAAGGCTGGTTTTTCATTTCCCAAATTCCCAGTGAAGCCAATTAAATGCTTAGACAAATGGGTGGAGTGCCGGATCTGCCATTGATGGTGGAGAGTGCAGTGTGGTTGTGCCTTCTTTGTTCATTTCACAAAATTATATATTTTTTTATATAATTTATAAAATGTCACAATAAGGGCATTTTAGTCAAATTTTACATTAAATATGTAAGTAAGACCTGTTTACACTAATGTTATACTTTTAGGTATTTTTTGCAGCTGAGGGAGTAATATTCACCGTAAGAAGGTTTTTTACACTTCACCCTAAAAACTACAAGACGTAGTGAGTGCATTAAATTCAATACGGCTGAATTAAATGCACTATAGCTATATATTCACGCTGCAGAATGGAGAACTCTGGGTAAAAATATAGAGGGAGGCGGGAAAAAAATACAGAGAATGAGAGAAGCAAGAATCACTTAGTAATGAAGTTTTGGGTGTTTTCATTCTTCTGTAATTAAAATAAACTTTGGAATTCAACTTCAATAGCTAATCTTTTGTGTAAACTCAAATCTCATTATTTCAATTTTATTCATTATGCACTAGTTATTTTTGTTGAGTTAATGCTCTGATTAATGATTAACTTCGGAAAATAATGTTGTACAAGTAACTTAATGATCTGATTAAGTTCTTAATTTAATGATTTATGATATTTCACATGTTCTAATCTATAGTTTAATCTGGTTTTATTAATACGGCTTTTTACCAGGTCAGGAATGTGTTTACTGTTTATATATATATTCTGTCCAAATAATATGTCTATATTTATTATTTACTTGGTGCGGTTTCATCTGGTAATTAGCTAACAAATATTGTAGTACGTCCAGACAAATACATGCACTGGCCTGAATTTGTTCATATTCAAGCCTCAAAAGGAAGTACAAATTGCAACCCATGAACCTGAATGATCAAATCATGAGTCATATATTATATATAAATACAGATAAAAAAAAATAGTAACACAAATAGAGATTTGTATAAACAAACATAATTAAGATATGGTGAATTTTCTGGCTTATTTTAATTACAGAAAAAAAAAAAAAAAAATCTGCCTTATTTTTTCGAACAGAGGAACAATCAAAATAAACATATATATTTCACTTTCACACACTTTTGAAACTTATATATATCAAATTTTTAGTGGTCCGATCCGTGTTATGATCATCACTTGAATACGTATCTTACTAAGCCAGGAATGTGAGTGTTCATGAAGTAGTCCTCCCAATCGATGCATCTGGGGTCGCAGTAAAACAAATCTGTCTCAATGCAGCTCTCTCTTGCTGCCATTCGCAACTTTTCTGTGTTCATGTCATCGAAGCTGATGCAATTAAGAACAAACAGTCGATGTTATATACACAAAAAAAGGGAAAATTAATGTTGGTGTTGCAAACAGCTAGTACACCAAGATATATATATATATATATATATATATATATATATAGACACACACACACACACACATATACTTACACGCCCTTAAAGAACAAGTAGGGTCTATAAATTTCTATCAGCCGCATGACAAAGTTGATCTTTCGATTAAGGTCAAGGTATATGCCCTGAAAATATTGGCAGAATGCTGCATTCACTAATTCTAATCCCTAAAAAAAGATGAAAGGGAAAAAAAATTATTAGTGATACGAAGATAATAATAGTAGTAGACTAGTAGTAGTAGAATCTTAGCATTAATGAAATGTGTAGATATAAGAATACTACAAATCTTTGTTTGGTTGCCTAGAAAATCTTCCAACTATATAAGTCTACTTATTTCTAAAAAACTTTCATCCCAATTGCATGCTCCTGTAAAGTAAAAATGACACTCTCATCGTAAGCGTATATGACATCAATGACATATATGCACAAAATATTTGGTTCCCAAACAGAAATTATGATTTTTTTTTTCTTTAAAAAATTCAAGCAAACCCACACTCAGCGTTCCATTTGGGAGTAGAGTTCATACCATCTCAGCTAGGGGACATTAGTTTTTTGAAAATGAAATTGTGATGCTAAAAAGAACACAAACCTTTAATGGGAGCAAGTAATGAATTGCCACGTATCGGTGGAAGCTAGCCATGGTGCTCAACACTGTAACCTTGCCTACAATGACAGGCTTTCCATCCTTACCAATCCATGGATTCTTGGTGAAGTAACGGAAGGCGTAATCTTGAAGGCCTGTTAATTTCATAGGATTTGCTACTGATGAGCCCACTTGGTGTATGATCTCATATGGTTGATTTGCATAACCCACCATGGCAACGATCATAGAATTAACCACCATGTCAGCGGGAATCTGCATCCATTATATATATATATATATATATATATATATACATCCTTTAATCATATATAGTTTGATTGTTTGAAAGGAACAAAAATATGGATGAGGTCCCGAAAAACATCTTATGGTATTCATCTCGGAGTGTATGACCTCCTATAAATTTTAAAAAGTTCATAATATTCAATTTTGGAGCAAACAAGCACGAATGTTAAAAAGACTAAAATAACCCTCTATAACTGAATAAAAAATAGGAAAAAAAATTAATTAAATGTGAAATAACTAAATTGTTCCTTATATATATATATATATATATATATATATATATATATATATAATAATATAGGGTTGCGGACAAAAAATATCCTTATGGTATGCATATAGAGTATATAACTCTCTATATGTTCTAAACCTACTTAATATTCAATTTGGTGCAAATAAGGATTGAATGTTATAAAGACTAAAGTATCCCTACAACTGAATAAAAAATAGGTAAAAAAAAATAACTAAATATGACAAATGTGTGTGTATACATTATCAGAAGAGATAATAGTATTTTTAAAATCTTATATCTTAAAAATGTCATGTGCAATACATGAATAAATTTTTAACGAAACAATGGCATCAAATCCTTAATCGTTAAAATTTTTCAAACTTAACGAACTTATATATTCAAAATAAATAATTAGGGTATTATTTGCCCAAAATGTAAACATTAAAAACGTTTTTCTCACTTTGCCCTTATAAGGGCATTATAGAAAGAGATAAGAGTGTTTTTAAAATTTTATACCTTAATAGTGATTTCAAGTCATTTTTTTTGTTCATTTTTCAAACTTGACCGACTTATAAACACAACAAAATCCTTATTTGATTCTTTTTTTTTTTTTTTTTTTTAAACTTAACGAGCAATTATCTCCATGGATAACGTTTGTGGACCTGTAACGGTCATGTAACAGTCAATTGTTCTGTTGAGCCTTGTATAGGCCGACCTGGGCCTCAGTTATTTTTCTCTTGGGCCTTGTTTGTTGTTGTCTAGCCTTCGGCTAACAGGGCCTTTGTATCTATCTTTGTTCATATATATATATATTGAAAATTTAACTTTCAAAAAAAAAACAGACGAACACATATACAAATATATATATATATATATATATATATATATATATATATATAATAACTCACCACATCTACTACTGATTCAGGATCCCCAAGAAAGCATGTGATTCTTCCTTTACCGTAACCAAGCACTAAGCTATCAATCGTTCTGTAACAGTAAAAAATTACATGAACAGAAATCCTGTTATATTTTATTTCTATCATTTTTAGCATCCAAACAAACTGAAAAATTATATAACAAAATAAATTAAATTTATGTCATATTTATTACCACAAGCTAGCTTTCATGTTACACAATAAATTAAAATGACCAAAGATTTTATATAAATTACCTGACACCTTCAACCCAACCAGGGAAGGGCTCTTTGTAAGTACTGGTCACGATGGTAGGGCGAACGACAACTAGTGGTAAATTTTCTTTCCAGTGCCCTAGGAACATCTCTGCCATTGCTTTTGTAAATACGTAGGTATTAGGCCATCCATACAAATTTGCCCTGTGAAATATCAATGTTAACCGTAATTAATAAGAGAAATGATATTTGTACTCCAATTGAAACTCGGGAATGATGTATACTCCATTTCTTTTAATTCAAGAAGTGTATAATCTTCTTTGTAAAAATATATATTAAGATTTGAATTCGGTAGTTATTGAATTCACTTTATGTGAATGGATCATTACGTCACGTGATAGGACCCATAACCCGACTCACATAAATTAAATTCGATAAAAATCACTACTCATATAATCATCTTATGAGATATATACCTTCCTAGCTAAGTCATAAAAACTTTCATTAGGAGCCCTAATTTCATAAAGGGTACGAGAGTCATTTGATGTATAAGATCTTTTTATTTATTTTATTTTATAAACACATGGGCATAAATGACATTTCAAATGATTTTTTTTAGGTTTAATGGTGTAATAACTTCAAACCTCATAGAATGTGAACGTAATTCAACCCTTTTTTTTTTTTTTTTGGTTAAATACTCTGACACCCCCTCTGGTTTGTCTTTATTACTCACAGATAGTAGAAAAAAAAAACCTAAACCTCCCATCAAGTTTGGTTAACTTTGCTTTAACTTCCCCTTTCGTTAATTGACGGTTAAAATGGTCAAAGACAACTAATTAAAAATATATATAATGCCAAAACTACCCTTGACTAGTGAAGATGAGATATATGAGGTTATAAATGAGTTTGAGACCAATTAGATCATAAATGACGTGGACTTGACTTTTTTATTTTTTTTTCTGTTGGATGTTTAATTGAGGTATATATTAAATATATTGTGAAATTATATTAACATATTGTTAGATGTTTAATTGAGGCATATGATTGGTAAAGCTAGTTATATGTTTTATATGTTTTAGTATTTTCAATAAATTCAATACATAAAATGAAGGAAGGGAGGAAAATAAAAAATAAATAAATAAATAGAGAAAAAATGTAACATCATATTATGAACATTATGTAAAATATATTAAGTAATCGTCGATTTATATTGTTGGTTTAATCAGCTAAATTGTGTATTATGACTCAAAATCGATTTCATAATAATATCATTGGATTGATTTATATATATATATATATATATATATATATATATATATATATATACATTCATAATATTAATTAATTTGATTTAAAGAAGAAATCAGGTTCGAAATCAGATTGGGAACACTAGATGTTGTTTTTCGGATTTTTCATGACATGCCTAATTATGTTTGTATTCCAAATTCTTACACGGTACTTGCACTTCTATAATTCATGGCTTATATCTAAACTAAAATGATATATTTAAGTTAATTTATGTTGATATTTGTGTACAAATTAAAATGACTTATAATAGGGAAGGATAGTTTTGGTATTATATTTTTTTTAATTAGTTGACTTTTGACTTTTTTAATAATCAACTAACAAAAGAGGGTGTCATGGCAAAATTAACCAAACCTAAGGGAGGTTAAGCTTCTTTCTTTCTTTCTTCTTCTTCTTCTTTTTTCAAATTTTTTTTTTTTTCATTTTTTTTTTTTTTTTTTTGTGAAATGGAAATAATTGAACGAGCTAAAAATAGTTGTATCTACCTTGTCTCACCGAGAAACTCTATCTAAAGGCAGCGAGACACTTATATACGCGCGCGCGCGCATTAAATACGACGTATAACCTAAGTGACCTAAGGAAGCTTCATTTCACCCTTACTGTAAAATTTACATTTAAACAAACCAGCTCACTACTTGTCTAGTCAAATACCATATTCACCAAAAGATAATTAATTATAGGTTCAAAACCATCAAGCACTAGGAAATTATATCATATTACGTGCATTACTATTTTTTCTTTCACATTCGTTAGCAATAAAAGAAAGATTTAAGATAATGATCAGTAATTATTTTTTGAATACAACTTATTTTTTGGTGATTGTAATTGAATTTTATTTACATATTTATTTGCATGTTTCAAAACATAGCAATATTTAAGAATTCACATTTTAAAATCAAATAAAATGTTAGATTCATAATTCTAATTATTAACTAAGATAATTCTATATGAACAGAAAACAAAAAAACAAGTCTCAGAAAAATAGCAAAGACCGTCAGTGTGAGAGAAATAGCAAAGACCGTCTTATTCTATTATTCAATTGATTTATGCAAAAAAAAAAAAAAAAAAAAAAAAATGATTTATGCAAAAACATATATTTTCTAGAATTGACATGACATTTAGAACCCCAACGAATCAATTGTCCCACTAATTTTTTATTTAATATTAATATTAGTATTCTTTTCGTCCCAAAATAGTTCGGTACTTTAAAAACTGTTCACACAGTTTTCAAAGTATCCAATTATTTTAGGACAGAAAAAGTATTTTTTATTTTAAATTATATACCTGTGAAATTTAATTTTGGGTCCTTCCCTGAATATGGTTTCTCTTTTTATTTAAAATAAAACTTACTTTGAGGCACTGCTACTTATCAGAAAAATAAAAAATAAAAAAATTAGGACACTGCCTTCTTAATTGTGGGTGTTAATGAAATTATTCTCCTTTTTAATTATCGATTTGGGAAGCTGAGGGTTGTGTGTATTTGGTTAAAAAAAAACTAATATTTTTTATAAAAAAATTATGAAAAACAACTATTATTATTATTATTATTTTTTAGCATGAAATTCAAACATTCAATGATATGCAAAAACTTAAATCCTCATCATTTAATATGGATTGAATAGAAATTGAATGCTAAGAGTGTGACAAATCAAGCTCCCCCATTGGACCACTGTAGAAAGGAGTGATTATCAGGCAATCTTAAGCCCCGTGTCAATGCATGGTCTATTCAAATTTATTATAGAATAAAACAAAATAAAATAAAAGAGAAGGTGACTCAAAAAAAAAAAAAAAATTAAGTAAAAAAAATTATAATTTTGATCAAAGTCTTTTTCAGTACATTACCAAATATACATGATTGAGTTAACCCTTTATTTGTCGATAACTCAAAATGAGTTAAATGATCACTTGAATGCGCCTCTCAATCATTGTCTTCATGATGTTTTTCCCTCAAACCTATTTCTTTGAATGTGCCTAACTATATGGTTGTAAACCCAACTTTAATTTATTAATTAGTTTCGACTAACAAGCTTGACATTTCATTGAAAAGACTATTAACTGATTATTAAAAGTTGTTCTCATGCCTTGTAATACTATTTAAGTGTAAGTACTTACTTATTTCAAAAAATGAATATATATATATATAATTTAAGATTTAGCCCAAAATTGGGCATGACTATACTTATTAAAATTTATTAGTTTTGAAAATTATAGACTCTCCTGGGCAACACAAAAGCATGCAATTTGAATTTAATTAGTTAGAATATTATGTCAAACCTTTGAAAGCCTAAATCTTTCATTGCTCTTGTAATGGCTTTTTCTGGAGCTTTCTCTGCTCGGAGCTCATTCAATCTCTCCTCCACCACTTGTTTTTCTGCATCAATGTCTAATCCAGACACGCCGTTTAGTGTCTCGCCCAAGCAGTATGAGTTCTCTAATATCAGACCCTCCCTTTCGCCAGAAACATAAGCTGCAAATACATTATTAATGATCACCTTATGCAATTGAAAATGGACTCTCTTTCTAGACAGAGACTAAAATTAAATTAAATTAAATTAATAAATGAACTAATAGTTTAATTTGTTAGAAAAGATACTACTAACCAGTCGATACTTGTAGAAGCAACTTTATTTTGACACATTTCTTTGCAAAGTTCATAACATGCTTAGCTCCTATTGTATTAATACCCAGAGATACATCATATCTACATACAAATTAAAAAAAAAAAAAAAAAAACATTAATTTACTTAATTTAAAATTAATGAGAGGAATTGAAAGTTGTTAGTCCATAAATACGTACCTTTCATCAAAGTTGGTTGTCGCAGCTAAATTAACAATAACATCTACTTCTCTCCACATCTCTTCCACCAAATTAGTGTCCTCCACTCCTAAGTTCTCACTGCAGGTAATATCGCCAGCGACCGGAACAACTTTTTTGGAAATAAAAGAATTTAGGTTTGCTCCCCACTTCTCTTTTAGAACCCTAAACAAGTCCTTTGCAATGACCTATATATATATATATGTATGTATGTATAGAAGTGGTTACAATTAAAATGATGCTCCATTAATACATTAATATAAAATGCCATAGAAATCAAAATTGCATCATGAATTAATTGGTTTCCTTTCCATGACTAAATTTTACATAGTTTACAATATTTCTGGAGTTGATAGAAGCAATTAATCTTAATTAATTTAATTATGTACCTCATCATGCAAGCGCTGCAAAGCTGCCTTGGCATCTGTTGCTCTTACAAGAAGATATAGCTTCTTTAAATTTGGTTGAACTCTAAGTATCTTCTCCACAAATACTACATCCAAATTAACAAGTCATCATTAAATCATCAATATCTGTGTGTGTGTGTGTGTGTAGAGAGAGAGAGAGAGTACTCTTTGCTAGAAAGCCAGTGCCACCAGTGACTAAAATGCTCTTGTTTTCAAGAAACTGAATGACACTACCCAACTCCATTGCAGAAAAGAATGGCAAATTGGCAATGGGGAGAGAGAGTTGAAGTAAAATCCACAGAGAAAGGGCTTGGCACATATGCGAAAATAAATAGTGGACACGGAAGGTGAGAGTATGGTTTGGTTTGTTATTAATGTTTTTATCTATGTAGTACACGATAATACATATGGTTTGGTTTATTATTAATATTTCTATCTATATAGTCGACAATATAGATGAGCCACTTTAATTCTCTCTAGTCATCTACATTGTTCGTACATGTGAAAACTTTCGGAAGGAGGGTTAATCTTGGTTTTTTTCATTTTTATTTTTATCTTTTGGGTAAGTAATCAATTTATTCAAAAAGGAGCATACTCATTAATTCTTCTATTTATAGAAAATAATATCTATTGAATGGGAAGATCTATATTACCTCGCTACCTACCCAATAATTTCTGACATTTTGCGTTATGCTGGCAAGCTTTAATAGGTTTCTTCTTTTCTTTTCCCTTTTTTTAAAAAATAAAAAATAAAAAATCTAAGAGTTGGGTGGTGTTTCTAACTTTAGGTCTAAATTCTTTATTATATTGTTTGGTTAGAACACAAATCTCACATTTATGAGGATCAATACTAACTCTGAGAATTAAGTTAAGATTCATTAAAAAATTAAATTATCCCATATATGTGTCTTTCATTCCAGTACACACACACCCCCACTACACGCTGGGCCACTGCGGATCATCCTACACCTTTGGACTCAGAGCCTATTGGGCTTTTTAGGGCAATGGGATAATACCATTGGTCCAAGCCTTTTGCCTTATTTCTGTTTTGGGTTGAGCCTGTATTGGTGTACTTTGTATTGGGCCTCAGCCCTTCTTACCGTGGTGCTTCTACTACTATTTTCCTGTATATTTCTGTAATTTAATTAACCTGGATCATTAATGTAATTATAGATAAATATTGTCCAAATAATATGTATTTATTTATATGGTCCAGTTACATATGGAAATTAGCTTACAAATTTCAGACACTTAGTTCATTCATTTTAGGAACAGCAATGTGAAGTGTGTGTGTGTGTGTGTCTATATATATATATATATATTGTTTGTCCATCGTGACTAAAAAGGAAGAAGTACACATTGTAAACTATGAACTTGAATGATTCATTCGTCATATATTACCAAAAAAAAAAAAAATGAACTGATAGTAACAAAATATAAATTTGCATCATCAATGCACAATTCACTAGTGGTAAATTTTCTGGTTTATTTTTCAAAACCGAAGGAACAATTTAAAAGAAAAAAAAAATATTCACTTTCGCATACTTTGAAACATATATATATCAACTTTTCAGTAGTTGTTGTTGCTATCATCACTTGAATACATGTCTTACTACGCCAGGAATGTGAGTATTCATGAAGTAGTCCTCCCAATCGATGATTTTGGGGTCGAAGTAAAACAAATCTGTCTCAACGCAGCTCTCCCTTGCTGCCATTCGCAACTTTTCCGTGTTCATGTCATCGAAGCTGATGCAATCAAGACCAAGCAGTTGATGTTATATACAAATAATGTTGGTGATGCAAACAATACAGCAACGTACATATAGCATATATATACTTACATGCCCTTAAAGAACAAGTAGGGTCTGTAAATTTCTATCAGCCGCATCACAAAGTTGATCTTTCGATTAAGTTCAAGGTACATGCCTTGAAAATACTGGCAGAATGCTGCATTCACTAATTCTAAACCCTAGAAAAAACTCGATATGAAACGGAAAAAAAGTATTAGTCTTTGTTTGGTTCCTAGAAAATCTTTCATCCCAACTACTCTAGTCATTGACAATATGCACAAAACATTTGGTTCCCAAACAGAAATTATGATTATATATATATATATATATATGTATATATATATTTTTGAAAAGTTGAAGGAAACGCGAGCGCACACCCGTATTATTGCCCCTAATGGGACTAGAACACTCAACATCTCATTTGGGGAGGAAAGTTCATTCCATCTGTGCAAAAAGAACACAAACCTTTAATGGGAGCAAGTAATGAATTGTCATGTATCTGTGGAAGCTAGCCATGGTGCTCAACACTTTAACCTTGCCTACATTGACAGGCTTTCCATCTTTACCAATCCATGGATTCTTGGTGAAGTAACTGAAAGCGCAATCTTGAAGGCAAGTGAATGTCACAGGATTTGCTACTGAAGACCCCACTTGGAGTATGATCTCAGATGGTTGATTTGCATAAGCCGCCATGGCCACGATCATAGAATTAACCACCATGTCAGCTGGAATCTGCATGCCAATATATATATATATACACATAAAATGTTCATACATCTTCTGATTGTTTAAAAGAGGAATAAATATGAATGAGTACGTGAACTCACCGCATCAACTACTGAGTCAAGATCTCCAAGGAAGCATGTAATTCTTCCTTTACCGTAACCAAGCGCTAAGCTATCTATCGTTCTGTAACAGTAAAGAAATTACAGTTGATCAACAATATATATATATATATATATATCATATTTTTGACCACAAGCATTTTTGTTACACCATAAATTAATTGACTAAAGGATTTTGTGAATTACCTGACACCTTCAACCCAACCAGGGAAGGGCTCTTTGTAAGTACTAGTTACGATGGTAGGGCGAAGGATAACTAATGGTAAATTTTCTTTCCAATGCCCTAGAAACATCTCTGCCATTGCTTTTGTAAATACGTAGGTGTTAGGCCATCCATACAACCTCGCCCTGTGAGATTATCAATGAAACATAACCGATATTATGAAATATATTGTGATTATAATCACCTGATAATAACCCTGCTAAGAGAAATGTATTTGCACTCTGAATTGAAACTCATGTTTTATGTATATTCCATTTCTTTTTATTCAAGAAGTGGATCATCTTCCTCGCAACAAATCAAAAGTGGTAATAATTTGCTGGTGAGTCGAATTCAGAAGATCAAAATCATTTACTATACAATTAAAAAGAGAAACATTTGTTAAGTCATAAAACTTTCATTTGTACGTAACAAATCAGAATTCAGAAGTACTAATAAATTGCTATTAAGTCAGAATTCAGAAACTTAAAAAACATTTGACATACAAAAACGGAACTTTCATTTATAACAAGTCAGAAGCTAGTACTAATAAATTTCTATTGAGTCAGAATTCAGAAACTGAAAAAAAATTACTATACAAAAAAGAGAAACATTCATTAATCATCTTCTGAGCGAAATACCAACCCTCTTAATTCATGAATTAATTTTCATTAGCTCCATTGCCCCTGGAACTGAAGCAACAAATTTGGGACTGAAGGTTTTGACAATTTTTAGGGCATGACAACATGTCAACGACATCCTATGTATGTAAAACTGACCTTATTTTATTAAATCAATATACGTAGGACAAGTATAGTAAGCTCTAGATGATTTTATTATTATTACTTTTTGAATAATGATTTGGAATCGACAACTCCGAATAATTTATGTAAGTGAGGTCTGACCTCGTCATAATATCATCACTTTTTTTCATATCATCATAGTATCGGTTCCTAGACAAATAAAATTAGTCGAATTTACTGTCTGAATTCCTATCATTAATTAGTTTTTGTGGCTGAGTTTTGAACTATGAACTTCAATTTGGGCATGTAAATTGTCAATGCATGACTCCAAAATCCTTAAATGTAGCCAACTACATATGACACAAGCCATAAATAATACAATAAAGTAGCAAAGTGAAAGGTAAAAAGAACAAAAAGTAGGTCGCTGTAAATATTTATGTGTAGTGTCTCTGAATTTAATTTAAGTACGCAAATGGTTTGAAGTGTTTAATTGTTGTTCTCAGGAGGAGGTACGCCTCCTTCACTTTATAATCTTGTGTTTTAAGTATGCAAAGCTACTTTAGTTTGGAGACAATTGAAGCTAAGTGTGTGTGTGTGTGTGTGTCTATAGATATAGATATATTCTATTGTGTAGATGGTCCTGCTGGGGCTAAAAGAGGACTGTCACATTTTTGGATTTTAGAAGGGCCATTAGTGCTACCATATACAGTAGCAAAAGTAATGGATATTTAAATTTTAGAAAGAGACTTGATGTGTCAATGTCCCTCCAATTGAAGAAGGGGGTCAGCTGACCACAGGCCAATTAATATGCAAAATCAATAATTTATATGTACTCTAGTTGAAATGACATAAATACTCTTACGAATTAAAATCTGTCAATTTTGTGTCGGATTTAATTTCATCTTTTAATCGATACTATCTTCAAAGGTGTCTTGCAATGTAAGGGCCGGAGTGTAATTGTGGAGTGTGTGTATGCAATATATATATATACACACACACATACATATTAGGGTATCTACCATTCAGTTTCTAGTACTAGTTTAGTTCATAAACAAACTGATCGAGGAAGAAAAGTGAACGAAAAAATAATTAGCATCTAATATCCATCTCTCTCTCTATATATATATATCTACTAAATGCTTCACTTGAATCAACCACTAGCTAATATATATATAGATATACCTGCTGAAAAAAAAAAAAAAAAAAAAAAAAAAAAAAAGGGCAGCAGCTCAAAAGCTAGTGGTTAATGTGCCAACCAATCAATGATTCAATCAAAAGCCAACCAAACGCTCAACAAGTCGGATATCAATTTACTATGAGAATTAACAAAAATTAGTAACATGGTTGACACCTCAATATTTTGTATCTATACATACTTGTGTACATCTATATATACATACATACGAATTATATACTATATAGTACTTTAAGGCCACACCTTCTCTTTTCATTTAAAAAAATACCACTAGCCAACTTGTTTGAAAGCAACCAATTGGAGTAGTAGTACTAAAGAAGACCATCTACACTAATAGTTCCATTTTAAGCCCCGATAGAAATTGAATGCTAAGAGAGTGACGAATCAAGCTCCCCATTGGACCACTGTAGAAGGGAATGATTATCAAGCAAGTTTAAGCCAACTATTAAGTCCATGCATGGTCTATTCATTTTTATTATTATTATTATTATTATTATTTTTGAAAATATGGTCTATTCAAATTTTTTATAGAATAAAATAAAAAAGAGAGAAAGTGACAAAAATAATAATAAAATAAAATATTTTAATTTTAATCTCAACCATTTTCATTACACGACAAAATAATAGTCCTGACATTAACCGAGCATTGTCAGATTTACAAGTACAGTATAAATCAAATGATCGCTTGCGGCCGAAGCTCTATTATTATGTCATGGATGTCTTTTCATGACACCTATTTCTTGGGATGTGCCTATGGTTGTAAACCCATAGGCGCAAACAAGCATATGATATTTCGAATTTTATTTCCAAGATATCCAACATGTATAAATTAGTAACATCTTTATATACCCCAATATATTGGATAACAAGACTAACTTCTTTTTATTAAAATTTGTCCTAATACGTTGTACATTATTTAAGCCTTTACCCTAAAATTGGGCATGACAAACCTTTCAAAGCCTTACCCTAAAAAGTATGCAATTTCAATTAATTAATTTAGAATATCATCTCAAACCTTTCAAAGCCCAAATCCTTCATTGCCCTTGTAATCGTTTTTTCTGAAGCTTCTTCTGCACGAAGCTCATTTAATCTCTCCTCCATCACTTCTTTCTCTTTGTCAATGTCTAATCCAGACGCCCCGTTTAGTGTCTCGCCCAAACGGTATGAGTTTTCTAGTATCAGTCCCTCTCTTTCGCCAGAAACATAAGCTGCAAACACATCATCATAATAATCTTTGCTTTAATCTTATATGAATGTGATCGGTCATGTGAATAACCTTTTTTTAATATTTTATTCTATTACAAGCCATCACAAAATAATAGTTTGGTACGTGAGAAAAGATACTAACCAGTGGATACATGGAGAAGTAACTTTATTTTGACACATTTCTTTGTAAAGTTCATAACATGCTTAGCTCCCAATGTATTAAGACCCAGTGAGACATCATATCTACATAAATAAAAAAAAGGAAATGTATTGACATTTAAATTAATGAAAGGAACTGAAAGTTGTTAGTACATACCTTTCATCAAAGTTGGTTGTGGCAGCTAAATTAACAACAATATCTACTTCTCTCCACATCTCTTCCACCAAATTAATGTCCTCCACTCCTAAGTTCTTTTCACAGGTAATATCACCGGCAACTGGAATGACTTTTCCGGAAATAAAAGAATTTAGGTTTGCTCCCAACTTCTCTTTTAGAACCCTAAACAAGTCCTTTGCAATGACCTATACATGTGAATCGAAGTAGTCACGATTAAATATGATGCAAAACTATATATATCAATATATATAAGTATGTACAACTTCCTGCAATGTGTATATAGCAGCCATATATCTGTGCTTATGTTTCACATTTTCTTGTCCTACTTTCTCTTGGCAGCCAAACAAGGCATGAACCCACACAGTTAACAGCATATCTTTGTTTTACACTACATTTGCATTCCTTGCTTTAAGGAGCATTTATTTCTGACAAGAAAGATAATAAACCACATGAAATGTGACAATGTAATTATATCATTACCAAAATTGTATAACTTAATTATTTGTATTGTCTTAATCAAGCACGCCACTTTGTCAAATTTTAGAATATTTGATGAATTCCATGACATTATGAAAGCTAGTGACAGTCCAACATATTCAAATGCCATATATATAAATAAATCAAATTTCCATGCCTAAATTAATTTGTATAGTTTACACAATATACCTAAACTAGTTAGAAGCAACATTAATTAATTAATTAATTAATCAATTAATTGTGTACCTCATTATGCAAGCGCTGCAAAGCTGCCTTGGCATCTGTTGCTCTTACAAGAAGATAGAGCTTCTTTACATTTGGTTGAACTCTAAGTATCTTCTCCACAAATACTAAATCCAAATTAACAAGTCAAGTTATCATTAAATCATCAATATATATATATATATATATATATATATATATACAGAGAGAGAGAGAGTACTCTTTGCTAGAAAGCCAGTGCCACCAGTGACTAAAATGGTTCTGTTCTCAAGAAAATTGATAACACTGTCCAACTCCATTGCTGAAAAGAATGACAATGGAGAGAGAGAGAGAGATGGAGAGAGAGAGAGTTTTGAAGTAAAGCCCAGAGAGAAAGGGTTTGGTATATATATGAAAAATAAGTAATGGAGTACACGCAAGGTCAATACTTGGTGAGAGTATTCAACCAAAAAAAAAAACACATAATTGGTGAGAGTATGGTTTGATTTAATATTAAAATTTCTATCTGCATAGTAGACAACATAAATGGTCCACTCTTCCTCTAGTGACCTACACTGTTCACATGTGTCAAAGACTTCGGTTAAATAGGTCTAACCTACCAAGTACCACATCTGCAGATATTCCACATAATGCTGCCCAACTTTTTTTATTTAATTACAGTACTAAACGCACTAATTAATATTCATGCACATGCATGAGCTACTACTTCACTGGGACGTCTGAGACATGCAATGACCAATCTACATTTCTAGTCGCACACTTGATTCAATTGTAACTTACTCATCATCCTTTATTTAATTCCATCTTTACCATAGTGAAAAATCAAGATCGAATCCTCTTGAGTAAGATAAATTTTTTAAGAGTTACAATCGGGGATATAGTCCTAACTTTACCCTATTCGTATAAAAAAGTTGCTTTCCATAGATTAATCAGGGCAAAGTCCAAAAATAATCGATAATAATAACGGTTTATTAATTGAAATATTATATAGTCGGTATTCCAAAAATAGCGGATAATTTTTAAATTCTATATATGGTGAGGTCGGCTACGGTATATGTCTAATACATGTGGGTGGGTTTGTGATGCTAACATTATAATATTATATGCATAGTTTCTTTGATTAATTGCTTTCTTTTCTTTAATGCATTTGGATTTTGTTTGACCTGTGAATTTTAGTATAGGAGGGCTTTGTATTTAAAATCCAGTTAGGAGTTTAACCTAATCTAGAAGACTCTTGCTGGATACATGGTTGAATGGGATGAACTTAATTTAGATAGTGCAGGCATCCACTATGCCTCGAGCACTCAACATTGTTGTGGTCGTTCAAAGTCATATCATAATTAAATTCTGGGAGATGGACTTCACAAAATGAAGATTAATTGTAGTCTGCGTCTTTACACCCACTTGCTACTCTACTTGCTAGGATGGGATTAGAGTTTCAATCGGTACAGGTGTGGCGGTAGGATGCAATTGCAGGGGTGATCTATACTGTATTATAGTCGGTAGAGAGAGAGTACTTATGGATGCATGTTTGTTACCTTCAATAAATGTAACTTTTTTAATTTCTTAACTCCGTGGTTTAATATCTCACATAAATCTACTCTCTGTTTCATAATTTTACTGTGTCAGTGATGGTTGTTCAACTTGATAACATTAGTATGTTATTTTACTATTTTGCTCATGAAATGTTTACTGCCATTTCAGACAGTAAAAGAGCAAAAGTGACATTCTATCAATTTTTTAACATTAACATATTCTGTTTGTCTCCGTCACGTGCCTAACGATAGGAGAAAAACTGTTACATAAACCATAACCTCAAAGGAGGTAGGAAGGATTATGAAATGTAGAGAGACCAACAGATCAATGGCCTATTAGTACTAGGCCTTTACTTCCCAAAGAGAGGTCAGAAGTTCGAACCTCAATGGAAGTATGTGTGTGCCTTCATATGACAAATATGCCTTCAAATGGTTTTGAAAACAATTTTGTTCAATACTCGTACAAAAAGACAATCATTCCCCTAACTGTAGAAAATTAGATGGATGGAAATATCGTAAGTTGGAGTGTAATTGTCTTAATTTTCACACAAGAAGCAATGAACAAAAGTTTGTTCACATTAATTTAAAGAACATATTTGTCATACGGAGTTAAAAAAAACCTTGTCATATATATCAACGTTGACCATCTCTAACTATTAGTGAAATTGACAACACGATCATTACACATATATAACTAGAAGGGAAGTAACTATAGGGTAAAGTGCCCAAAAAATAAAAACCCTACCATGTATAGAATGTGCAAGAAACAACCTTGCTTTTATATCAATCACTTTACTTAAAAAATTTGTAGCAAATTGCCCTTGGTCAACAATTTTGACTAATTGGCGGAAATAAATAAATAAAACAATTTTGACCAGTTTTTTTTCTATAAAAACTCCCATACTATATGGTGGAGTGGATCATTATACAATCCTTTTCGGTACATGGCAAAATAATAATCTCTAATATTAATCGAGCATTGTCAAATTCACGAGTTCAGAATAAGTCCAATAATTACTTGAGGCGGAACCTCTATTATTGTGTCATTGATGTCTTTTCATGACACCTATTTCTTAGGATGTGCCTATGGTTGTAAACCCCACTTTCATTAATTAGTTTGGACAAACAAGCTTGCAAGCATATGATATTTGAGTTTTATTTCCAAGATATCCAACATGTATTAATTAGTAACATCTTTATATACCCCAATATATTGGATAACAAGACTAACTTATTATTATTAAAATTTGTCCTAATACGTTGTAACATTATTTAAGCCCTTACCCTAAAATTGGGCATGACAAACCTTTCAAAGCCTTACCCTAAAATTGCCCTTGTAATCCTTCATTGCCCTAAAAAGTATTGTAATCGTTGATCTATTGATAATCTGTCTTCAATGTCATATTTTAATTAAATATTATACATATATACACACACATACACAAATTGGAGTATACATGTACATCTTCATTAATTGTTCATCTCACATTTGGTTTGATGTTTTTGTCGGTGTGAGTTAAATCTTTAGCATAAAATGTAAAGAAAAAATAAAGAACTCAACATATATGCTTGTGGATTTTGTTAATCTTGTGGGTGAAGCATGTGGGTTGGAGAATTTTGTAGCAAGCAAGGCCGAATTAATTATCACTGTTTATTTGTTATTATTATGAAAATCTACAATGAAAGTGATATAACGTCCCTCCAATCAATGTTCATTTTTTTAGGTTTCGTCATGCATGTATGCATATCAAGACAAGAGTGTTATGTAAATTAATCTAGAAGGATCAAATAAATCAAAATTTTATATCAAAAATTATTTTTAAAATTATTTTATGTATGTTTATTAGAAGAGACTCGTAGAGAGAAAATATTATTATTATCATTAAACTAATCTCATGTTAAACTTGCTCTTTATTGTTGGCAATTAAGAATCGTTCCTGTCACAATTGCAACTTTCACAATTGTCCAACAACCGTTAATTTGACGACTTTCACAAACTTCAAACTTTCATGAAAAGATTTATGATAAGATAATCAAACAAATGTTCTTCCCCTTTTGGAGACATTGGTCAATCATCAAGCTTAAAGTTTGATGAAAAAGATTTGTTCATTGTGAACTCGTTGTTGAACAAGATATATTGAGATTAGGTGAGCAGTTCCTGTTGGAATTTGGTGAGTGACACTTGCCCTAAATGGCCACCAAAAGCACTACAATCATTCAACAAGTTTATCAATTTATCTACCCTACCTAAAAGCCCTCCAAAATATTGGTTTTAGTATTTCGGTACCCAAACTGGTGATTGGTCTACTTTCCATAGGGCTACAAGTTATTCCTGTCGGCCCCTTGAAGAACCCCAAGTTTATTTGACAACAAGTGAGGTGTGTCAAGCTTACCTTTTAACCAACCAAAAAAATAAAAATAAAAAATCAACAAGTAAGGTGTGTACTAAGTCAGAGCAGAAACGAGAGCGAATTCGAAAATTCAAGAGTAGGAGCGTAAATGTGACAAAATTTAAGTTGCGTTGAGTAAAAACGAGCACGAGAGAGCAACTGTCTCACAGGAATATATAGTACGAGTTTATGAAGAACAAGAGATCCAATTAAGTAGGACAATTTAACACAGAGGGTGATTGTATTAATTCTCAGAAAAAACTATTTTTTTTATTTATTACTTTCTTGATTTTGTGATTACAAGCAATGTGTGGTGATTGGATCACATTAGCTGTCAGTAGAGATCACCTATTTACCCGTGAATATACAAGGATTATCCTTAATTATAAGCCAAACATAGCTCAAAGTTAGAGAATTTGACTAAATGGCACCAACTGAAATATATATACGTGTGGTCTTGATACTAGCTTGGTAGCTTGAAATCAAATTCTACCATAAGATTGATACAAATTTTTCAAAGAGGGAAAGTGTTACTTACATTGTACTGGAAATAATATTAGCCTTTTTAAACTATGGGAAGAAAACTTCTGTAATTACTTGCATCATAAGAAATTTCTTCCCCCTTTTAAGGAATTAATTCTGGGAGTAACCAGTGTGACCTATTAAGAAACTTGATAGAGATAGAGATAGAGAGTGAGAGTTGATTACTTTACAATTTATAACACATCATTGATATTGGATCATATCCCATCTTTACCAGGGCATGCATTTGAATTGTGTAGCACATCACTAATGTCTAAGTGCATGATTTAATCGCTTGTCAAAGAGAAATTATTAGATGATCCCGATCATATGTCACTTGATGATTCAAGTCCAATCAAATTTTATTTTTAAGTTTTTTTTTTTAAAAAAAAAAAAAAAATTATTATTAATTTTTTTGGATCCACTTTTACTAGTTTGATGATTTTGATTGGATTGGACTGCATAGTTAAGGACTATTTAATAATTTCTCATTCAAATGCATGCGCACATGGAAATAGAACTTCAAGAAGAAATAGATGGTGGATGGGGGGAAAATTGGTGAAATTAGGGAAGAAAAGTCACACCAGCAAACCAACTGGCTTGTGGCCTAACCGTATAAAGTTCCTACTTTTCAAAAGGAGGTCAGGGGTTCGAACTTTAGTGGAGACGGTGTGTGGAGTCCCAACTAGGGAAAAAAAAAAAAAAAAACCACGCCAGCAAAATATAAGAACAACAAACCTAACATGGAGTGATTTGGGGGAAGAAAATGACCGCGTTAAAGTTGGTGTTAATCACATGCAAAGAAGCAAACTCCTTGAGTCGATAGTGTGGAGCCTGATAGATATTATCCACCAAGGCTTAACTTTGCAGATCCAATTATGCTATAAGTTGGCAGGAGGTCGCAAGGTGGCGGAGCCCCCTGCCTGAAGGTTGGAGTTCGGGAGCATGCCCCGACCCAAATTTTTGAAGGGTATTTTGGTAATTTTCGTACTTATTATGTGTGCGAGAGTATTTATTTATTCTTAATTCTCTGTATTTGTACAGTTTTAATTATCATAGTAAAATTTTTGTAACTTTTAGACATAACCCTAATTTTAGATAAACTAAATGAAAATCTGATTTCTTTTTAATTTCGCAACGCTGAAGATGTAGTCTTTTCTTCGATTAAGTCATTTAGCTGCCATAGTGTGGTGCCTTTGAAGAATTGTCTAACCTGCCCTTTCATGCTGTCACCATCCCACCGGAGAATGTAGTATTTTCTAGATTAGTCATTTAGCGGCCCAGGTTTAATGCCTTTATAGAGTTGTCTTAGACTCCCTTCTCATGCTGTCACATCTCAATGGAGACAAGGTACAGGAAAAAAAATTACCACTCTGAAAGAGAATGTTTCTTTGTTTCGAATGATCTCCAAGCATGAGAAGATTTTTTTTATTTTAAAACCGTAACAATCAAAAAAACCTTACAGTTGTGTCTAGACTGCCGTGATATATATATATGCCTGCACTAATTAGTTTTGCTCACCAAGAAAAGAGGCTAAATGTCGAATTTTAAATAGCTTCTTCCTTACAAGTACGAAGGCATATTCATCTCAAAACACTGAAAATGAAAGGACAGCTTCCAAAAGCCAACCACCATACGATATAATGCTTTCGTGTTGCTGGGATATACTCAAAATATTCAGAGTCAAGTCTTCAACACAAATTTTGTGAAAAACACAACAAAGAGTCATCACTGCATAGTAACAAAGTATTCTACAGAACTGCTTCACTTCAATTAGAACCAAATATCCTGCAAAACCGCTTCACTTTCAATTAGAAATGAAGCCTTCTGTCATTTAAGTCTATTATCACTCTGTCCGCGGTTTATAATTACAGCGTCGTCTCCCGGACTAGTTTCTGAAGACGGCAGCAACCAAACACATCAACTGAACACAAAATTTGCAATATGTTTAATTTAGAGCTTCCAGATAGGCAAACAGAATCAAATACCGATCATTCAAAAGGATATATACAAGGTAAATCATCTAAACCAAGTTATCAGGCAAAACTAATATCTATAGAAAATAAACATCCCAAGCAAATACTATTTCACTGAGATTAGGAGGGTAAATGAACAAATTGAAAACAAAAAATGAAATGAAAGAAAAGATTAAAAGAGAGAGGAGAACATTACAACCCATATCAAGATGGGACCTATAGAAAGATCATCTCTGATTTACACTATCCAGGAAAGAAAATCAGCTTAACATTGTACAAGAAACAAGATCTGTCAAGTTGATTACAACAAACTATAAATGCAAAAAATAAATCAAAATCTTATGCTGATTCTGAAAGAAGATTTTTCTGGAGCTGCTTCAAATGGGTGTGTGCTATAAGAAAATACAAACATATCATTCACCCAAAGAGAGCCGTCTCGCTGTAAGCATGTTAAGAAAAATGGAGTACAAAGAAAAACTGTATTTTTCAACCACATACTCTGGCATTCTGATATCCTCTATATCTAACATCACCTCTCATCCAATAAGAGGCGTAACTCAGGGACACACTTCTTTTGCTGCTGATGCCGGATTTACATGATCTGCAGCAGGTGGATCAGAATCTAGTTGATTTGTTGTTGGCTTAATTGGTTGCCCCTGACCTGTTGTAAGTACAGCAGTGTCCATTCGATTTTTTGTTGTCAGGGCATAATCCATTTGATCAGTTGCAGGTGGCACAGAAGAAGTTTGATCTGTGACTGGCAATATGGAGTCCATTTGGTTTGTTACTGGCATGGAGTCCGTTTGAACTGCTGCTGGTAATGATGTCACTGGAGAAGTGAGATTTTTCTGTTCTAGATTTGTGTCAGTAATTTCATATTCGGATAAGAGATCCATAAACTCGTTCAGCAACCGCTGTACTTTTCTATTTGATGCCATTGCTGGAAGAATATCCTCCCTAAGGAGTTTGTGCTTTTTCATTCCCTGCAGAGGTCCAGATGAACACCCCATCAACTATAGGAACATGTACAAATGTATAAACTGATATGTATAATATGATAGCAGGGTCCTATATATATATGAAATTTATATATATATATATATAGATAATCAAGTATATGCCACACAGAGAGAGAGCTCATCAAATGATTTCTTAATTCTTATGGTAATTATGAAGATTAGTTCAGTACCCTCAAAATGGAGTCTTGTAGGAAGCTATACATTTTATCAAGAATAAAGAAAGAAATTACATTAAGACAACACGAGATGTTAGATGATCCAACCTGTCATTTCATGCCATGCTAGCCACTTTTTATCAATGTGCTACTGCTTTTTAACCAGATTAAGCTTTATATATAACATTGTTGGAGTATTATGACCCCACTCTAGTTTTAAGAGTACTTTTCCCTGATTAACTGATGATTTGTGGAGGTCAGCATCACTACAATGCACAAGTTGTCCATTATTAAGGGAACTTGCATGAAGATCAATCATGTGATAGCATTGAACTAGCAAATCATATATATTTTTAGTTATTTTCCTTTCAAAAAAAAAAATCATAGATATATTAAGATTTCAATGTGCTATGGTCTTTCCTTTTATTCTTCTTCTAGAAAGCTCTCTGTTCCATAAGAATTTTATTCCTTGTTCCAGTGTTTTGACTAAGAAATTGAAAAACGAGGGAAGAATCGGTAAAAACTTCATGGATTGCTAAATTTCTGTTATGTATAACAGATAATGCATTTCAGAGCTCAGTGGGCCAAGGCCTTAGTTTTCTCTGGTAAATCTGAAATGACCATACTCTTGAACTATTGACCTCTGCTGCAGGAGGACAGATCAATTCCCTCCCAACAGATGGAAGTTCCAACCTCTGATCAAACACATTAATGTACACTTGAATTTGTCATGAGAGGACAATTCACAGGAAGCAAAGAGTGTGACCAATGGCTACTTTAAAAGATCGATGTATATTTGCATTTATTAGGCCAGATAATGTAACTTGGATGCTGACACAGGTTTCCATACCAGAAACATTGGTCAATGAAATTCAGTATTTGTATAGATTGTGTGTTCACGTGTAATATTTGCCAAATCCTGAAATTTCATGACAAGCAGACAAACCTGAATTTGCAAAGTGTACAATGATGAAATAAAGTGAAATGCTGTTGTCATGTCTGCTAAGGGTGTTCCACTCACTTTTGAAATATCTATGCAACAAAGAAACAGACGAAGGTATCTACGAAAATCTATGGTGAAAATTGAAACTTGTCCTCTTCCCTTTCTTTGGGGACAAGCCTGGAGGCAATGTATGCATACCCGTGTCATGTTCCATGGGTACTTTTACTCCATCTGAAGTGTCCATGTAATGCACATACATGGGGTATTTGGTTTAGTGAACTCAAAACAAAATGGAAACTGCATGCAGCTATGGAAATGTCAATAACTAGGATTGTTTCCTACATACATATTTGGTGTATTCAACATAATACACACATATATATTAGATATGACAATGCCCTGGTCACATGAATCGGCCTTTAGGATCTTATTGACAGCTTCCATGATAACAAAGGAAAATAGCCATCAATAAAACCTAGACACATTTTGAAGGGACATTTGAAATCCCCTATAAGAAAAATATGTCGGTCAAGGAAACAAAATTGGAGAACCACTTGACTTTTGTAGGTCTTTGTAGGTCATGGCATGTAAATCCTTCACAAAGATTTCTTAAAATATTTGGAGAAATCCAAAAACTATGCATGGCACGTAAAGGAGAGTACAAGAAGCCATACAAGAACGCAAGGATCCCATGCTGGGTTCTTTGGATCAGAACACGTGATTTCAGCCATCCCAGTTGGAGGTCCAAGAAAGCTCTCACAAACTTCTCGTAAACGTGACTCATCTGCTTCTCTGCAATCCAAAGAATAGAAAGTTATTACTCTGACCTGCTATTTATTCTACATGAAACGTGTTTGTCTAATTTCATGGAAAATTATTACACATTAAATTGCAATTATATGCTCATAACTATAAACGAAAAAATACAATGTCCACCCTCCATCAGGACCATATGTATTTTCCTATTATTGAAGTTGGTTTGCAGAATCTAATTTTGTCACCTGAAAATCCTAACATTGACGGCATGCTGCACATATTCGGTTGAAATAATTCATGATCTACAAGTTTATATGAGGCAAATTGACGGCATGCTGGTTATGCTCCCAAACCTTTCATTTCTTTCTCAAAATTCATGTATAACCAGCATACACAATTACGACATCCATAAACGTATTACATTTTAGAGATGTTAAATATATAAAGGAAAAGTCTTACACATTGTGTATTCTCAATGCAATACCTAATTTGTAGCTATCACTCAGGTGACTCACTTGCATAAGTTCGATACAAATATTATGTCTAACCAACTCAGAGAGGTTTGGTTGGCATTACTCTGCATTTTCAAGAACACAAAATAACACATAACACGCCCAGATGTTGAAGATTTCACCAAATAACAGTAAATTCAACTAAAATACAGGAATATGCATTCATCAGTATGTAAATTACTGTTGATTCCACATTGCATAGAATATCAAGAATGTTAAGCAAGGAAAAGCCTAAAAATTCACTCGTAAATACCACGAAAAGTGAAGAAACAAACGAACCTTGCTAGGAAACGTACGTAGGACAGAAGGCACTGGCGATATTCATTAGGAGACTTCAATGCCAGTGTAGATGCCAACTGAGCTTCCAAATGAGCACGTGTCTGCACTCCATCATCAGTCACTCTATAGCAGTATAGCAGCATACAACCACAAGTCAAAATCTAGCAAATGGCTTGCAGCAAGAAATTTGCAGAGGTGTCAACTTAAAAAAAATAGATTTTTTATTAATATGACAATTTATTTTCTTTCTGGAATAATAAAAAAATTCAGGTAACAATGTGGTGATCCTTGTGAAAAATCATTAGAAAGTTGAAAAGGATAATGTGATGATCTAGTTTTCCATAAACGAAGGATTGCACCAAGGATCGGTGCTAAGCCTGTATCTAATTGCAATAATTTTAGATGAAATAACAAAAGACTTCCAAAATAAGATTCCATGGTGCATGATGTTTGCCAATGATATCGTGCTCTTGGATATCTCTAAAGAGAACTTAGCAACAAAACTAAAAGAAGTGCAGAAATGCTTTAGAACCGAAAGGATTGAGAATTGGTCAAACTAAAACCAAGTAAATGGACTGTAAGTTTAATAAAGATTCGACATTGATAATAATATAATGATAACAGTCAAAACCAAAAGATTACTCAAAACAACCACTTTCGTTCTCTAGGATTGATAATACAAAATATTGGAGCGAGAAAAAGCAATGTAACTAGTAGGATTGGAGCAGGTTCGACAAAATGGAGACAGGCTAGTGGGATACTATGTGATAAAGAACAATACAGAGGCTAAAAGGAAAATTCTATAGGACCATTATTAGACCAATTATGTTGTATGGAGCTGAGTGTTGGGCACTAAAGAAGAAAGAAGAACAACGCCTTCATGTGGTGAAAATGAGAATGTTAAGATAGATGAGTGGAGTGACTAAAAGAGAGAGGGTCACTAATGAAAGTGTGAGAAAAATTAGGTGTAGCACCCATTGAGGAGAAAATTAGAGAGAATAGACATAGATAGTTAGACGGTTTGGAAACATACATCCGAGACCTAGAGACGCATCAGTTAAACAAGGAAGACTAGTTGTAATAAAACGTAAGAAACGGAGAGGGCAACCAAAAATAACAAGGGATGAGGTTATTAAAAATGACCTTGAAAAGTTAAATATAGTACGTGAAATGGCATGTAATAGAAAAGATTGAACACAGAGAATTCATGTGGCCGACCCCATTCATATGGGATTAAGCAAGGCTACGATGATGATTGAATGTGTTGAAACTGCATAAACCTTGCTTGATACTGGAGGAAGGCATAAGATTTGTAGGCATTCTGAAATTGATTCGAAATAATTTAGTAACTTAGTTTTAACATATGGGTGTTTTTGAACTTAAAATTGTTAATTTGTGCAATTATATCTGGTTTGCATACCAAATAAAACTTAAAAGGTATAACTGGACAGTTCTTACAAATTTTCAAAATGTCATAGTGCATACACACACCTGCTCCAACCAGGTTTTCTGGCCAAAAACTTCCGAACATCCACCTGCAAGGCAGCCAGCTCACCACTCTGAATTGAACCTAAGTTCCAGGAACTTGCAAAATTCGATGCAGGGAAGCAATCATCTGCAACCCTCAGCCAACACATGAGGCTCATATCAAAAAGAAAGGCATGGCGTGTGGCCAGAACAACAAGAGGAAAACCAGATTTTGATAACTTTGCAGATATGACTTTGATTGTGCCTGGAATAGATTGACAAAAAAGCATGCAAAGTCAATTGTCCGAAAATTAATACAAAGTCCAAACAGATATCAAGAAATATCAATGTCAGGGTACCATAAAAAAATAATAAAAATAAATTAAAAAAATAATAATTTGTGAGAATATTATGCACTTCAGCACTAAAAATCCAAATTCCAAATTTCTAGGTTACCTGCATCTTTTGCAGCTGACTTCAGATCCGAAATAATCAGTGAAGCCAGTGAATCATGAAGGAGACATTTTCTATCAAATAGATCCCATACATATAAGGATCCCTTCCTTGTGACAAGCAACAGTTTCCAAGACTCATCACAATCTATAAAAACTGCTGCAGACCCCATCATCATGGTCGGCATGGCACGTCTACCACACTTTGTGTATACCTTCTCAAGAAAAACAATTTGACAAAGTTCAATATCTGCTTTTCAATACACGGTAAGATATTTAAAACTATATTTACCATTAAGTTAGACAAGAAGATGCAATATCTGCTAACTATTTATCCCTCCATAATCTTAACGGATATTGAAATTTCAACCTGAACATATATAATAATTATTGTTGAATCAAAATGAAAATTCTTGCTGCTTACAAAGAAAAATTACTAGTACTATGAAATGCCGCCTAAACCAATTGCACAAGTTAAGCTCTTTTAATAAGAAACACATATTTTTATTACAGAGCAGATACAAGAACTAGATTAAATTAACACATTAAAAAATAACAATAAATAAATAAATACTGCAGGAAGCAATTACGAAAGGTGAATTATGATCCGCATAGTGTATTACTGGAGGAATGATTTTGACAGTACTTGAACTGTTGACGGGTAAAAGGAAACTGTTCCATAATTTTTATACGAACCTGTAGGCATCCATCTTCACACCCGACAGCCCAGAAGTTGGCATTGCCAGCCAAAACAGTGACTTTCCCGGAGATCCTGTCAGACCACAAAGTTTGAGCTCCTCTTGTGCAAGCAATTTCTGTTTCTTTCATCATGTATGTATTTCCCACCCCGACAATGTCATTTACAGCATGTTCTCTAGGACGAGCTTCCAAGCAAATTGGTATGGCATCTTCTCCTTCTTTTTTATCAAATACCCTAATTGAAAGAATATTACATGTGGTCGAAGAACCAGAAGCCTTCACAATTCCTGGCAGTTCAACACTGATGCTTCCGTCTCTACCTGCAGAGACCGGAACCTTCTCAATGACTAGGCTTTCACTGATAGTAGCCCTAGCAGTGACCCCGGAACGCTCCTTTAAATCAGAACTTCCACCTATTGTTCTCCTGATAGAACATTCCCTAATGCCACCATCAGCGAGTACCACCCCATTATCATTTTTTCCGTGATCAGACGACTTAAGAGGAAAGTCAAGAGCTTGATACTGGGCATCACTAGTCAATATGTCCCTCTGAACAGGCACTCCAACCGCTTCTGGAATTATCCTCTTTCTGCCATCAGGGCGCCTATATTCTCTTTGCTTCACAGGACTAGACATCCGGACGGTAGTTGTCACTTTATTTAATGTCTCACCACTAGCTACTCCACTCTTCTTTCCATCATCAACTTGAGATTCAGAAGCCTTTATTGCAACCCCTACATCCACACAAGATTTTAAGGGTGTCTGGCTTTGTGGGACATCAGAAGTTATTTTTTTGCTTGTGGCTTGCTTAGCCGAAGCTGCTTCAAGCAACAACTGTGCAGGGCTTTCTGCTAAGTTTGCCTGCCTGCCTCTGACATCACCATAACGATTTCTCTTTAAATCATCCAATTCAGCATCAGTTAGCCTGTGGCCAAGTTCGTTCACCTCAAAATGGAAAGTAGCCACTGTCCCATCCAAGGAACAGGCAAATAATGAGTACCCATCAGGACTCCTGTTCCCATAAAACAGAGTAAGAAATTTATAAAGAAACAAACAAGAGAAGGAACTTAGTCATGAGCAAATTTAAATTAGAAAGATGCAAATCAATAACATAGCAGTTATTTCTTTCTAGAAGATAGTCTGACCAGAGACTAGCTAAATTACCAGGATAAATCCACAACACTTTGAGTGAAGAAATGCTTGGCCACAAAGAGAGGACGAGCACTGGCAGTCGTCCATACAGTTATAGTGCGATCCTGACTCCCAATTGCAATAATATTATACGGCTGAGATTCTTTGCCTCCAGTCTTAGAAGCACCATTACTCCACCCAACAGGTGCAGCTTTCCCTTCATGAGCATTGGAAGAATTCCTTCTGAACATTGAATGATTGAACTTCACTACGATAACAGGGGCATTGTGTCCTAAGAAATCAAAAGTGGCAGACCATTCCCCTCTCTCTAGAACAGGTGCAGAATGCCTCGGCTTCTGGAAACCATGGGTGGTAGTTATAAAATGGCCGCACGGTGACCATCCAAGCCGCCTAAAGAAGGTAGAACCAAGCTGAAAAGAACATTCTCATTAGACTATAGAGAGGTAAAGAAAAATAAAATTAAGATACGATGAACAAACATACTGATTTTGCCCAGTGCCCATCTGTCCTGTGAACAAGGCTCCAGTCACTCGTTCGCCAAATAATGACAGTCTTATCATCTGATTGACTTGCTATGAAGGAACCAATAGGATCCCAAGTAACTCCTTTAACTAGACTAGAGTGACCCCTAAGAACAGCAGTGCAGATGCCATTGCTCATATTCCAGATATGGACTGTGTTGTCTAAACTCCCACTGGCCAATATCGAGTCATCAGGAGACCAATTAAGATCCACCTACTTTAAGCATGGAAAAAAAACTCCCTGGTTAGATAGTACATGGTGCGTCAATCAGGAAGTCGGATAATAAAATAAGGAGGTTTTAAAATGGATCATGGAACTGATGTCTCTCATATAACATTCTGTTTTATGTACACATGAAGGTACAGTATTAAAATTTAGGATGGCACAAGTAGAAAAATAGGAAAACACTCTCATTACCACATCTGCAGTATGTCCTCTCAAAGTCATGGCAACTTTCCAATTCTCAACATCTGGTGGCTCTCCGCTGCCAAACTCAGTGGTTCCTGAACCCGGTTTTCTCTCATGAATCAGAATCACCTGATCATCAGACCCTGATGCAACATATCGGCCATGCTTAGCCCACCTAACACAATTGACTGACCCAAAATGATCACGAAGTGTAGCAAGAAGTTTTGGTGTTGATTCATCAGTTTCCAAGTCTCTCCCAACAGATTTCATGTTCCAAATGCGAACCTACATTCAAAACATTGTATTATAGAAACATATTCTCTATACCGTGAAGTTGTATTGTACAATATGTGCTTCATTGGACTAGAGAACTACTGTCCAAAGCATAGTCAATGGAATTTCATGCTCAAACAAACGGTGTTTTAAATTGACAAAAGAAACAGATTAAAACCGAGAAACCTCGAGAATCCATTGATTTGAATAATTGAGTTGACTAATTAAGAACTGAAACCCAAACAAATCCAACATCGGTTAAAGAGCTGGAAAACTATATCAATTGCAAAAGTTCTACAGTAATCCGTTTGAGTATAAATAAATTTCTTTAATTGGGTTTTCAACAATGAAAATTTGAATCTCCAAAACTTTGGCTTCTTTTCTTTTCGTACATTTATCTCAGCAAGAAAGTGAAGACTAAATAAAACAAGATTCCAACAAAAACCAAATTTCATAGTATGAGAAAAAAGATACACTACCTTGTGATCACCTCCACCAGTTGCAAACCTAAGCCCACCAGGTTGAATATCAATGGAGAAAATCTGCATACCCTCGTGCCTAACCCAACTGGGCTTCTCTGCAATCATCTTTAATTCTTAGTTTCTAGACACAGAACAGCTTTTTGAACAAGTGTTCTTAAAGGGTAAGCAAATTCATGGTCTTGGAACAACAAAAACCCTAAACGGGTTCATCAGAAGAAACCCAGATGAGACCGTTAAAAACGCAAAAGCCCTAGTTAGGGTTTAGTGAGAAACTGAGAGAGAATAAGGCTCTTCTGATGATACTAATAAAAGAAACCCTACGCGGTTGGTGGGCTTAAACTTGAAGAAGACGATTAAGGAATGAGCTTTAACGGTCAAATCTACTGGAAGATAATGGCTCTTTTGGATATGAAAGACTGAAAAAGGGAGAAAATAAATAAAAAGGCAAAAGAGAGAATCAATGTGCAATACAAAGTAACAAAAGAGAGAAAGTGATATTAGGGCAACAAAGAAAGTGACACACAGATTTGCAATTTTTACCTATATAACTTCTAATTTAATGTAGGCCTAAAAGAATGGTACCAACCTTCCTTTTTTTTAATTGCAAATATATATATATATATATATATTGACTGTGATTGAAATTGTCTAATGTTATTTTCCCAAAAAGAAAACGAAAAAATAAGCATCACTAACTAGAAAAAAAAATAAGCATTAATATCTCAAGAGTCAAATAAATAATAATTTAAAATTAAAAAGTTGATTGTGAGTAAAAACATGATCACATGAACTATATTCACATCAAACCTATCAAATTTGTGAGGCTATGGACCCTCTATTATTATTTATTTATATTATTTTTTTGTATTACTTAAATTTGGGCTGATAAGTTTGAAAGAAAAAAAATAAAAAATAATTATTTCAAATATATATCATATACACAATATTTATTAATTGTAGGACCAATATGGTGCAACTTTGTAATTAGAAAAAAAAAAATGCAATGAAAAAAAGAGTAAAAAGAAAATTTTTATTGGAATATATATGTATAAACAAGGACACTTTTTGACTATATTCTTTTACCCTAATACCCTCCTCCAACTAAAATGTACCCGAATCCATCTCAACAGAGAAAGGGACATAACCAATTGGACCATCACTATGTGGCAAAGTGGTGTGTGACAGTACGGATTCACAATGGGATGGGATAAAATCACCATCACTGTAGTACATAGAGAGCACATTGGTGCAGTAAGTGCAGTGATTTGAAATATAAAGACTCAGATTGCACCATTGTCCCTATAAAAACCCAAACGATGGATTAAAAAATGGTCATGTTACCAATGGAGTGAATAAAGCAAGGCATGATTGTAGAAATGCACAATATTTATTTATCTACATAAATATAGAAGTAATTCATGGCCATTTAACACTTTTATAATATACATATAGTTCATATAACTTTTTTATAGACTCTGAAAATCTTTGAATGTTTTTTGTAAGGGCAAATAAGGATATACTGTCAATTGGTTGTCAAAGGGGTGATAAAAAAACTAAAATGTCCTTCAAACAATTAAATAAATAAAAATAAATAAATTAAATTAATGTAAAATTAATATTATATCCTTTATTAAATTTAGTTAATGTAAAATTCAATAAAGGATAATTTTAGTATTTACTAAATTTAATCAGTCATGTGCCAGGCACATGTTTGTTTTAACGGCGACAGCCAAAAAATCCTTCTTTATAATATTTTTAAGTTCTTGAGGGAGTTATATAACTAAAGTAAAAGCGGTGTTATTTGCTCAAAATGTAAACCTAAGAGTGTTTTATAAAAAGTAGGTAGTGAGTCAATGACTTCAAGGAAAATAATTGTTAGTGGCAGTGGGTCAAATGTTATTAATTTAACTCAAAGGGAAAGTTTAATTGTAAAGATTTTTATCACACTATATTTGGAAAAGTCCAAAGTTCGAATCGTTTTTGAACCACTTTTAGTAAATTTTTCTGGTAATTGTTTGGTTAGTGTTTGATGGAAAATTGCATGTATTTGGTGACGGATTATGAAGTAGTCTTAGAAATGTGACGCCACCATCCCATCATTGTCAAAATAATAAAGAAAAAAATGTTATTAATTTTAGGTCTATTAAAACACGATTTTCAGAAAAGAGATTTTAAGAAATGGTAGGTCTATTCACTCTATTAACAACTGAATTATGTATGATAAGGGATTTATCTTTTCTATCGATTCCTATGAATTAGATAAAAAATTATTTTTGAATGAAGTATTCAACTCTAGGATGAATCGATTGTAAAATTGTAAGTATCAAATTTGCGATAAATTATATTTAGCTACTATTTCTAACCATTTATTAATAAAGCCTAAAGACTTGTTAGCAACTAGCATTCATAGAGGTAAAAAGGATTGTGGACGGTAAAACAGTTCATTGGAAGAACTTATCATAAGAGGGCTCTCGTAATAGCATTACTCTTTCTAATATACTCCAATGACATTTTGTAATCCTTTTGTAATTAATTTCTCCTACTTTTTTTCCAAAAAATAAAAGAAATTTACTAGATAATTATAGACCACGTTAATCATCATCTATTTTAAAAATTAAAATTTAATTACCACTAGAATTATTCCGTAGTTCAGAGATAAAACCTTTGATCATCGGTTATACCGGTGCTAGTTTTAAAAATCACTAATGAAATACTCCGAACAAAGATTAGGTTCGTCTCAAATCCTTCTTCTCTAGAACAGGGTGTGACAGGCTCAGAACCAAATAAGCCATTATACATCATAGACATGCATTAATTTAGGAAGTCATATATTTATTGTGGTGAGTTAATCACGAATCAAAAATCCATCCTCAGAAGACCTCTCTGTTTTCCCTCACACAAATATGAACTCACATGTCATTACTGAGTTACATATATCGTAGACATCTCTCTTATAAATTAAATACATAACAAATCAGCAGACACTGTATACCACAAGATCACACCAATTATTAGTTCCAAAACGTAGAGACTAACATACCTACACTGAAAGCACATTAAGGGCAATGGGACTCCTAACCCTGTGGATACAATAACTCCACAACTTCAGCAATTTCACAATATAACACAGTAAAAGAGAATTTAGAATTTTCTGAATATGTATAACAATATCATATATCTCCCACTTTCATCAGCCCACAGTTATGGAATTGTTAAAGACATCAACAGTTCATCCGAAGGACTTCACCCGCGACATTTACAATCATACTTGTGACATTCTCAATAACGGAGAAATAAGTCTTCAATTCGATGTAACCTTCAACTCATTCAGCATTAACTACAAAGCAAAGTTTGCCAGATTACATTAAGGTAGAAAGTGAAGGGTTAAGGGTAGATAGCAGGCACTTTTTTCCAAGTGCAACTCCATCTTACATCCCAGTCCAGCAATCCTATGCCCCTCTAAATACGTTTCAACAGGCAGTGAAGGATAAATAAATAAAAAATAAATTGTCACTCAACTATTGAATAAAGCAAAGAAAATCATTATTACCCATCAATATGTATAGTTGGCAAAGCTTGTTACCACACAAATCTATTAAAATGTTGGTCTGACAAGTGCAGGCACTGAACATGTGCACATTGCGTTCAACAACATTCCGGAGCAATGTTCTTAAGTCTCTACTTTACATAAATAAACAAGCAAATTGAGGAGTATTAAGCACCACTTGCCTCTCAATACCGAATAAAATGCCATGTCATGTCACCTTCACCAATTGAAGCATCTTCAAAAGATGGTATATTTCATTGAATCCAGCAGCAACATCCTAGATACAAATTACACAGGTTCACCAAGTATTTTCAGCCACTGCATCCATTTCATCAACCTTCCTCCCCGAACTCTTTTGTGAATCTCGTATGAACCTCAAGATCAGATTTGCTTACAGTTGGCCTCTGCCTTGCAAGTACCTTGTCAAAATCTGTTTTTGTGATGGGAGGTGGAACAATCTGCATTGCCATTAACAAACAGAAACAAGCACTCAGTAATCAGTAATGGGTTTTTTATTTTCACTCTTATCTGAAATTATTCTCTCTCTCTCTCTCTCTCTCTCTCTCTCTCTCTCTCCCTCTCTCTCATAGTGTTTATGCCACTTCTCTTCAGATTTTATCATTTTAGGATTTTTTTTTGGCATCTTATTTTAGGATTTTTTTTTGGCATCTTATTTTAGGATTTTTTTTTTTTTTGCATCTTATTTTAGGATTTTTGTTTATCACTTTTTCATAGTTTATGTTGGTCAAGCCTCTCTATATTTTATTATTGTTTTTAGTGATGACTACATTATGTGATGCATGTGTTCAAATGACACGAATACCATTTGGTTGTTTACCATTTTCTTTTCTTTTTTTTTTTTTAATATATATATAAGTCATTTGGTTGTTTACCTTTAAAAGAGAGAAACAGAGGAGAGAAGGAAAAAGAAGAAAAGAGAAAGCTAGACAGGTCAGAGGAAAATTAGTTATCGGGATAGAGAGGGGGGGGGGGAAAGGACCGGGACCAACTATTCCCTTTTCAAAATAGGCATCTCCCAAAGTGTTCATCTCCTAGTCACCCACTTGCCCCTTCTTTTTCATCCTTATCAAGTGAACTAAACAGTGCCAAGCAAAGATTTTTTTTTAAGTTTCTCTCCTCTCCTCTCTTTCCAAATGGTGTAAAAGTTCTATGTTGGATTACTTTCCCAATGCTCTATCAGAAAACTATACCCAAAAAATTGAAGACGAGCCACAGAGCACGAAAACTATAGCAGGGGATTATGGGGCCAACTTCATTAGTATTTAAAGCATCTATCAATACCTTTGAAGCGAGCCCCTCTGCAGCAAGATCCTGCATAGTGATCTGGATAGCACCAGGTTGCTTTGGTCCACATGGCACCCAGATACCATCAGCCTTCTTTATGAAAAACATCGCATCTTGGGTTTTACGAACAGGTTCAAAAAGGACATCCTTAACCTGTCAGGTAGAAAAGAAACAAGGAAACAAAATGCTAAGCAAACATCAACCAATTTCTCTAACATAAAGACACTTTTGAGAGAAACTAAAAGAAAATAATGGTAAAGCATCTCATGGAGGATTCACACTCACACAAACAGCAATATCCGAACCAGAAAACCCCTCTGTCTTGTGAGCTAAGTTTTCAAAATCACTCTCAGTCAAGTTGTGGGGTGTATCTCCTAAATGCACCTGTGCAAGTTTAAGGAGCCATAAAAGAAGAGGATATTAGCAAATCTATAATTACAGAAACAAGATGATCATATTGCTCAATTTGTATTCTTATATATATATATTCTGAGAGAATATGGAGACAAATTCTAGGACCTTGAACATGTGCTGGCGAGCCTTCAAATCTGGAAGAGGAATGTATATACGCTTGTCAAATCGTCGCCTGATGGCCTGCAATTAACATTTATAAGCCACAGCTGTATGATAGTCCAATCCTAGATGAAATCAATAAATGAAAGAAAAATATCTTTTTGCATTCCACATTTCCACTCTACCTGATCCAGAGCATAAGGAGTGTTTGTTGCTGCCAGAACAAGAACTTTCTCATCATTATGTCCTACACCCTAACAATCGGAACAGGAAAAGATCAAGTTCAACATTTAAACAATGTACACACACACACACACACACACATATATATATAAAGAATGAATCATTTCATTGCCAGAAATTTCACATTTTGCTTTTCAAAGATCAAGGTACCATAGCATCAGCTAAAGTTTATGAGACATACTAAGAATGACAACCAGTTGATGTGAAGATGGGAAACACACATAGCAAAGAATATTGAGTAGGTCCGATTAAAAATCCATTTCCAATTCAAGCATTACCATTTGTCATCTTAAACATATAGGTTGGTCCAAAGGGACCTCATCCATCCTCCCAACTTTCCCCTCCTACTCTCCTCTCAACCAAACAATGAAAGCTTGATCCATCTCTCATATCTTCCCTGAGTTCCCTCCATCCTACCAAACATAGTCTAAAAATTGGATTTCTAAGCCTTTAAATGAATATGCCAGTTTCAAAAATTATAAGCAAATAAAAAATAAAAACCAATTTTATAAAACCCATAATTTGTAAGCTTAAAAGAATGCAACTCTCCACAAGGACAATTTCCGGAAAAAAACTCTTCATAAGGACCAATGCATTAGCAACACTAGCTGTAAGGACCACTACGGCACCATAAAGGACCATAAGATGCATAGTTGTTAAAGGCACAAGGCGAACCTAAGTGCAAGGTGCCGTATAAGGCACGAGCCTGATTGAAGCAAGGCACACGTATATAATAATCCATATTTAAACATATATTATTGTATATATTCATAATCAAGCAATTTATGAATTTTGTCTAATATTTCAGAAGGTTAAACAATACGATATATGATATAGAACCTTAATTTAGTAGTCATTAAGTAAAAAAGAAAATGATATGAATAAATGATTAAAAAATAAAAGGCGCCTTTTTTAAGCCTGGAGCCTACTAAAAAGCGTGAGCCCGACGGCTTTATGTGAGACTGATTGAAGAGGCCTGGTGTTAGAGGGTTGAAACTCATGTGACACCTGGCCTGTAGTAGGTTGAGCCGCTCTAGCTGATCCTTGACGAGCCTGAGGCTTTTTTGGAGTCTAGGCGCGCCTTTAACAACTATGATAAGATGTCACCAAATTGCCCTAACAAACAATAAAGTCATGTTGCCAAAATTTTATGATGCTGATAAATTGATTTATAACAGTAAAATCAATACTGTAAGCAACATCTGACCCACCACAATGGCCAATTTTTTAAATCATCCTTCATGTTAAGAGGAAATGAGAACAAAAGAGCTCCATGGGAATACAATTTCATGTTTAAGATCTTAAATCTGACAGAAATAAGGCTGCATAGACAGACATGATTTCAAAACCACTGAACCACTGGGTTTTACAACTATCATATCTAAAGTCTTCCTCACATGTACCTGAAACTAAGACATTTTAGGATGGAATGTGAAAGCATAAAAAGACATGAGTCGGTACAATAAAGAATAATATAAAGTTACTTGTGAGGATATTTACATAATTTTATGTTGCAATGGTAAATGAAAATGAAGAGATTGCATTCTCCAGCACATTCTACAATAAAATCAGTACCTGCATCTGCACAAGAAGTTCTGTTTTAATCCGCCTGGAAGCTTCACTCTCATTGCCTTCTCCACGCTGGCCACATAAGGAATCTATTTCATCAACAAATATAATGGAGGGAGCACTTTCACGAGCCATTTGGAAAAGGTTTGAAACTAGCTTTTCACTTTCACCCATCCACTTTGAAACCAGGTCAGAAGAAGAAATACTGCAGGGAAACAACAGTTGGTACTTGCCAATATATTGCTCTAAGTTCATGAACATAAAAAATATAAGAATAAAAATTCAAACAAAATAAGAAAAAGAACACGGCACACATAGTGAACAATATACATATGTGCACAAACATTTGCCATCTTATTGGTTTAAGTTCACACACTTTTAAAAACTATTAAAAACAAAAACAAATATAAGAAAAAGAGCACCAGACATAATGAAGAATATAAATGTGGGCACACACAATCTGACATACAACTGGAAAAAAACTGTATCTAAATAATAAGTACCACGTACTTCACCAGACACACATTACTTACCCATCCCGGCCACAAATATGCATCGATGTGTCATATGTAAGATTTTTTATATTAAGCACATAGCTGATGTTTATAAATGAATGTTTAAAGACAGGAAGCAGACTAAACAATAAATTGTCAGCGAACTGTAACAGCAACGAGGACTTATATACAATCTCAAATAAATTAAGAGCACATGATATTGTAACAACTGCATGCTTTAAAAGAGATTCACATTTTTTTTTATTTTTGTTTGTTGCAGGGATGTTTTCAAAGTGAAACGAAAACAAGACCTTTACCACAAGGGCCCAAAAAATGTTTATGCTCGTGTAGCTGTGCGCACGTAAGCATAAATGCATGTGCTTATATAGAAACAATTATAGTGATCCTCTCCTCCTCCCACTCATAATCCTTTTACAAACCTTCATTTAATCCAAGTCGCGAGTAGAGTTACGGGAACAGCCGTCTCATGGAAAACGACTTTCACGTTCAGTTCAGAGAGCACTTTTTTCATTACAATTCCTTGTTCCCTTTCGTGTGAATTCCCCAACAGTGAATTAAAATCCCTAAATAGGGGCTTTCTCTCCTCCGTGCATCTAACTCCTCAAAATCTGTGGGGTTCCATAGGATTGTTCTCCGAGTTAGAGAGGAGTTCGCTGACCAGGCCCTCCATCTCATTCTATATATTTGTCTCCTTATGGGCTGCATGTTCTAGTTATGAATCAGAGATGAACAATGGGTGGTGGGTGGGTGGGTGCGTGTGTGTGTGTTGTTGTTTTTTATGTTGAAACAATCTTTATACATTGGTAACGGTAGATAGGGGCACCTCCCATAACACTAAGACAGCTTTCCTGATCTTTCTACTTTTCTTTTGCATATAGTAAAATCTTTTATAAATTATATATATACTCCCATTTTGATTTCTTTTAAGACTATGCTTTCCTTTTTGTACGTTACAGAAAAGTCCAATCCGAAGTCCATAAACTTTTTCATCATATGTTGAACAGTGTAAAAGAAGTGCCAATCAAGTGTCCAAAACTATGAATTTTCTTTCAAAATGTGCTTTTCTTCTTTCATGTTAAAAACTAATGTCCAATCTGGCATCCGTGTTAAAAAGAAAGTCCAATCTGGCATTCACGTGTTAACCGGTGTCCACAAAGTGTTTGCCAAGTCTATGAAATTTACAGGTGGGGGGGTGGGCGCGGGGTTACAATTGAAAATCCGCTATTAATGTTGTTTTTTATGTTGAAATGATCTTTATACACTGGCAACGAGCTTCACCTTGGTAGATAGGGGCACCGCCTTCTCCTTTATTCCCGAAACACTAAGACAGCTTTCCTGATCTTTCTACTTTTCTTTTGCATACAGTAAAATCTTTTATAAATTATATTTAAAATCCCATTTTGATTTCTTTTAAGATTATGCTTTCCTTTTTCTACGTTAAATAAAAGTCAATCCGAAGTCCATAAACTTTTTCATCACATGTTGAACAGTGTCAAAGAAGTGCCAATTAAGTGTCCAAAACTATGAATTTTCTTTCAAAATATGTTTTTCTTCTTTCATGTTAAAAAGAAAGTCCAATCTGGCATTCACGTGTTAACCGGTGTCGACAAAGTGATTACCAAGTCTATGAAATTTACTCTTCAAATTATGAACACATCCAAGATGTGTCAAACACATGTTCAAGAATTTTCTGTGTCAATGTTAGAAACTGAAATGGCTACTTCTGAGAATAATCCATGCTTCTTAGAAGGGGAAAGACATAGTTTTGATCAAATTAGCTAAATTTTCAAAGAACAGAGTTGCAGTCACTTTGAAGATAAAGCTCAACAAGTATCATAAGCATAATTATATTATATATCATATCATAAATCTCTCACTGCATTTCTTTTCAACTATTTTTTCTAACATTAAAAGGTGTTTGTCACATGCTTGACCAATTAGTCTTGTGTACTATGAATTTTCTTCTTAAAAAGGGCACATTGAAGAAAATATCCAACACATTTCCAGAATTCCAGAATGTTGGAATAGTATAATATCTGTCATACTCATACTCCTCATAAGAAGCGCTTGTGTAACATGGAAAGCTGGAAATAATCATAAATACAAAGCCACTAAAACCCTAAAACTGCATGAGAATAAATAATTCATAAGTACTTAACAGGCTATATTCGAAAAAAATAAATAAATAAATAACTGAATATACCTGAAAAATGTAGAGTCAGCTTCAGTTGCAACAGCCTTGGCTAAATATGACTTCCCTGTTCCAGGTGGGCCATATAGAAGGAAAGCCCTCCATGGCCTCCTCTTGCCTAGAGGAGACAAAGAGAATGGATATTAGTATCAGTTACTAGGTGGAATCACCCTAAGATGCAGCATCCTAGGATTCTCCCATCTTTTTTTTATCTTTTTTTTCTTTTTCTTTCTTGATAAGTATCCCTGATTTATACGATACAGCAATGGAAGAACTAAATAAAGTAAACATATAGAATAAAGAAAAATTCATTGAGTCTCTATTTCCCATCAATTATAAATTCATAATGCAACTAAACTCCAAATAATCAGAGAAAAATCATATCAAGCAGCATATATAAGATGATTGAGAGCATTCCTTTGATCCTTTCCAAGTTTTCCAACCCACTTCCTACCTTGTATAATAACATGACAACCTTTTCTAGGTTAATTAATAACAGATTCATTCCTACCTTGCATGATAGGATTGATAATGGGACACATCTTGATGCAACTTATTTTACTTGTTTTGGTATTGTTTACCAGCCACGTCCATTATCCTTCATGATTGATTGTATAACAGGAGATATAGATGCCAATTGTTTAACTTCTTTTATACATAGTTAATGGAACATAAAGGTAGGAGATGATCCCTCACTTACAGCTCCACGTGTCAATTCACTATTAATGGGCTACTTAGGCAATGTCATTATAAATTAAGAAAATATGGGGCGTAACATGGACGGTAGGTGTACCAAACAAAATGATAAGATAAAGAGGTGGCCCTGACTTGATGCTGGAGTGGGAAAACCTGAGAAGAAGAATCAAAGATAAGTATGGCAAATATAGGCACCAGGCGGCAAGAGACGAATGGATGTGAAATCCAGTCCAAAAGAATGGAATTGCACCCTTGCAATGCAGCAATCTGTTCAGTTTATATAAATATACAATTGGTAAGGGCCTAAAGGAAGGTAACTAAACTGAAAGACAAAACTAAACACAGAATCAAAGGGGATCATAAGTCAAGATCTTGCAAGTCCAATAGTCAATAATTTCTGAAGCCTAGCCTAAGCCAGCAGGTAATAGCTGTCTTAATCAAATCAGATAAAGTAAACATTGCCTCTGATCGTTCAAGCGTCAAATTTAGAAATGGATCTCAAGTAACAACTAATCTAGCTGAAAGGCAAGTACAATCCATCCTAATATCCAGCAACAGTTTAAATTGGTCCATCAAATACCAAACTCATTGAAAGAATCCAGGTCTCACGATGAAACTAAGCAACTGCCAAGCCTTATGGACCTTTGGCCCTCTTAAACTCAAGTATGTGCAAACCTCAGTGTCTGCACTTGGAGGAGGCCTAAATTAAATGAACTTCTGTAAATATGTGAAGTTGGGTATGTGATATCTCTTCAATATGTCTAGTTAAAAAAGCACCCAAAGAGCATGTTCACTGATTCAAAATTATTATATAACAAACTATTCATTAAACTTTCTTATATATTCTATGTCACCCTAAGGTCCCAAACTAAACAATTACGTTACATAAACACACACTTTTACCGCATCAATTAGACAAATGAACTGATGCAATCCAATATACAAGATTTATCAGTGTCCCTTCGTCCTTATATTTGAGAAATAGATAAATCCAGAACACGGACACATATCGGCTACAACATACATACATATTCAAATCCATGTAACATTGGATAAAGCAACTGATCTATTTTGGACTTCAACTCTACCTTTTTTAATTATTGGATAAGGATAACTCTATTTACCCCAAACTTTCCTTTTATATGTCATGCAAATCATGCAGTACTCTAAGGACAATCTGACATCCCTATAGCAAATTTTACACTAGGGAAGGCATTTCCTTTTGGGACATGCAGCTGAAGATTTACTATCAATTATGGAAAGGATGCAAACTTGAAAAAAGGGTGTAGGTGCCTGAAACGTTCCCTAACACCCACACAAGATAGCGCCCTTAAACAAACAAAACATTACAACATAGTTCACAATTCTTGTAAAATACCTAGGATTTAAACAGGCAGACTATTATACAGCACAAAACTGGAATCTTTTCCCAATTAGAGATGAAAACACATCTTTTAATCACTTCAACTAGTTCAATTACGTTGTTAACCATAAACCAACCAGTAAAGAAGCACAAAAACAATCAATCGCATATCAAATTCATAAACATCCCAAAACAATCAAATTATTAATTGTTAACAGGAAGGAACTAACCAGTGAAGAACTGTGGGAATTTCACCGGCAGTATAACTGCCTCCTGCAACGCTTGCTTTGCGCTCTCAAGACCCGCCACATCATTCCACTTCACATTCGGCTTCTCCCTGATAATCGCGGAGTTAAGCCCCGCCCTCAGCTTCGATTGCTCCGGATCCTCCCCATCCCCACCACCATCGCCGTCCTTGGGCTTCGTCTTGGGCCTCATCGCGACCGCCGCATCGCCGTTCGCCGCCGGCCCCGACCCACCGTCGTCCAAAACAGCCCTGATCTCCTCCGCACGACGCAAGTACTCGGTGAATTTCTGGGTGATGGCCTCCTTGATCTTAGGGTTTTTCTCGTACTTCAAATGGGTCTTGAAATACTCCAAAGCGTTCATGTACAAGGGAAAGGCCTTGGCGTAATTCCCAGCATTGTCTTCGTGCACAGCTTGCTTCACGAACTCGATCGCTTGTTCTTTGAAATTGCTATACATATTCGCATATATGCAAATCCTCGATATAGGAATACGAAACCCTATAAAATCAACTGATTTGATACTGATTGAATTAGCGTGAGCTGAATCGTAACCTTAGGTTTGTGGATCGATAGAGAGAAGAGGGAGAAAAAGATGATTGGATGTGAGCAAATTAATGAATGAAATTGTCTCAACGTTGAATCGATAGTCGTCGGAGTACGCGTGAGGAAAAGTTGGAAAACGTAGATGTGTGTGCGATACAAGCGAGTGCGCGCACCCGTTACTCGTTAGCGAAACTCGTTGATATGAAGGGCAAGCATTTGACGTGTTACAAGTAGGAATTGTCAACAGATCAACTGGCTAATATTTTTTTTTTATAGGTTAATACTGGTAATATATATATCTATGTATATATATTTTTGTCTAAGGCTAAAATTGGGTATAAAAAATAAATAAATTTAACCTCCTATTTAAAAAAGTAAAACGAAAACAAAAGTAAAACGAAAACAAAAATCGCGATCAATAATATATTTTTGTTTTCCTATAACAGAAAATGTTTTCAAATTTTTGTGAAAAAAAGAGAAAATTGAGTGCGTTTAGTAACCTTTTTGTTTTTTATTTTTACAATCTCAATAAAACAGAAACATGATTTTGCTTTCTTGAGTGAAAATAGAAAACAGAAATAATATTTATTAACACTTGTTATTGTCTAAAATATAAAACAATAATTATGTTTAGTAATACAGCATATTTGTTACAAAATGTACATAATATTCTTTAAATTTTTTATTTTATTTTTATTTTTTTCATTTTTATTTTATTTTTTTCATGGGAGAGTAGGTGACTTAAACACGAACTCTCGGACACAGGGTGTAACCCAACCACTCAGGCACGACACTTACTTCCATTAATATATAAAAGCCATAAATCTATAAAATCTAATTTAAAATTATAAATCTTAAAAATACTCAATACATCGTAAGTACAAAATTATATATACCAAGACAAAAATATGTCCACCAATTATGCATATAAGTACATGTATATGCATGGTGTATACATTTATTATGTGATATATAATATATTTAGCATATAATAATTTATTATGAATAAAAAATATTAAATAATATATCTTATATGTAATAAAATATATATTGTGTTATAATATTATAAATTAATTATAATTTAATATTTAGATATAATGTAATATTGATATGATATATAATAATATAAAATATCTACTGCTCAATAATTTAATAACATTATATTCTATATCAAATATTATTTTGTCACAAAAAATAATTTACATTATTATTTAATATATTATATATTAAAATATATTTTTATCAAATAAAAAATAATATACAATATTTAATTTATTCTATATTAAAAATATATTTTTTTATTAACATTTAATATGCAACTTAGTATATAACACAAATAATATGAAATTTATTTGAAATGAATAGTGCCTGTGTAGTAACATTAGTGAAAACGTTTCTACACTACAGTACCAAAAATATAAGAAACATCATTTTGATATTTTCTCTTTTATTCATAAAAATGGAAAACGTTTTATGTTATAGAAAAACAAAAACATTTTATTGAACGTGATTTTTGTTTTCGTTTCGCCTTTTTAGAGGTTGACAACAGAAAACAATATACGTTTCTCGCCTTTTTAGATGTTTCTTATGTTTTCGATACTATAGCGCATAAATGTTTTCGCTATTATTAATCTACACAGGCACTATTCATTTAAAAAAAAAATCATATTATTTGTGTTATATATTAAGTTGTAGACTAAATGTTAATAAAAATATATATTTTTTATATAGAATATATTAAATAATAATAATATAAATTATTTTTTGTGACAAAGTAATTTTATAATGTTATTAAATTATTATGCAGTAGATATTTTATATTATTGTATGCCATAGCTATATTATATTATATGTAAATATTAAATTATAATTAATTTACAGTATTATAACACAATATATGTTTTATTACATACAAAATATATTATTTAATAATTTTTATTCATGATAAATTATCATATGCTAAATATATTATATATCACATAATAAATGTATACATCATGCATCATGTACATAATTGGTGGGAGTGTTTTTGTCTTAGTATATCTAATTTTTGTACTTATGATGTATTAAGTATTATTAAGATTTGTAATTTTAAATTAGATTTTGTAAATTTATCATTTATGGCTTATTAATACTAATGGAAGCAAGTGTCGTGCCTGATTGGTTGGGTTATTCCCTATGTCCGAAAGTCCGTTCAAGTCATCTACCCTCCCTTTTTAATCACTAACTCTTAAAATTCTTACCATGAAATATATATATATATATATATATATATATATATATATATATATATATAAATGAAAAAACTAAAAACTAAAATAAAAAATTTAAAGAATATTATGTACATTTCGTAACAAATATGCATTACTAAACATTATTATTGTTTTATGTTATCAAATTTGTGGTAGCAGAAAGTGTTGATAAACATCATTTTTACTTTTTATTTTTATTTAAGAAGGTAAAATCATGTTTCTTTTATTAAGGCTGAAAAAAAAAAAAAAAAAAAAAAAAAAAAAAAAAAAATCCTTTACAATGACAAATAAATTTTGGGTTAATTACAACGACACCACCTGAGGTTTGGGGTATTGACAGACATATATAAGTTAGCCATTTTTTGAACATTCACACCCTCTGTCAAAAATTTATCCAAACAAGCCCTTAAAAGTTGTGAAAAGACGAGATTGCCCTTCAATAAAATATCAATTATTAATCTAAATATCAAAAATATATATATGACAGAATTACCCTAGGTTTCTCTCTCTACCCTCTACTCTAAAAAACCCAAACTCGATGACCGGTGCCTCGCCGCCCACGCTGCAATTCTGATCTCTGCACCGCCGCCGCTGCAGTTCCGAGCTCTGCGTTGAGGACTGACAATGATGCCATCGAGCCGTTACAGGAATTATGAATCGTGATCCAGAAAATCGTCCGGAATCGCGACTGATTCCTCGTTGCAGGCTCGGATTCTGATTCCTCATTGCCGATTCCAAGCAGCGGTAGAGCTAAGTTTGCAGAGAATAGAAAGAATGAGATCATCCGACAACGAATCGAACAAATCACAGTCTCCCGTGGTTTTCAAACGTTTCCGGCAATTCCTCAGTTGTTAATCTCCAGTTAAAACTCTCCTCTTGATGACTTATCTCTTGTCCAAACACGTGTCCACTCTCAGATAACAAGTCCCTCTCCTTATTCTCATCTCTTTATAAATAAGTTAAAGAAAGATAGCACTGTGTGATCTTTGTATATAAAAGAGTAAGATCGAACAAGAGGCTTTATATCAAACAGACCAACTAAAACGACACAACCCGAATCGGTCAAACGGCACTGCCCAGATCCTTCCATCCATCATCGTCGATTGCTTTCTCTCTCCACTACAAAATGCCTCTCCTTTGTCGCTCTCATCTCCAAGATTGAAGACTATATCTATATATATATATATATATATATATATATATATATATATATATATATCTAGAGAAAGAAAGAGAGAACACCATCATAATCTCATATTTATTTATGTTGATAGGGCATACACACTTCTCTGGAATCGCAACTGATTCCTCATTGCCGGCTTGGATTTTGATTTGCCCAGCAACGGCCTTTGGCCAACAAAAACTCCGGCATACTCTCCGACAACGGCCTTTGCCCGAACTCGCACCATCATCTATTTTTAGCAAAAGGGAGACTTGGCGGGATGAAACGACAACTGAGAACAGCGGTTGTGATGCTGCGGCTGTGATGGATCCGGCGAGGACGAGATGGCAGAGATTGCAGTGGTGGGTAGAGAGAGAAATTACAATTTACAATTCCATGGGTTCAATTGATTTAATTGATTCAAGGTTGATTTAAACACAAAAGTTGTTACAAATTAATTGATTTCATTGATTCAAATGTGGGTTCAATTGGTTCAATTTCATGGGTTTAATTGATTTAAGGTTGATTTAAACACAAAAGTTGTTACAAATTACAATTTCATGGGTTCAATTGATGGGTTTTGGTTGTGGTGGCAGAGATTGCAGTAGTGGGTAAAGAGATAAATGAGGGGTCGACAGTATTGGTGGTGGCGGTGATACGGTCGAGTTCAATGGTTGCCTCTGCCCTATGTTTTGTATATATATATATATATATAGATACATGCGTGTAATTTTGAATTGTTGGGTTTGTGTGATGGTGGTGGAACAACGGAGAAGATGGTGGTTGTGGAGGTTGTGGTTGTGGTGACTGGTGAGTGGTGGTTGTGTATATTGGCTGAGGTTATTTTGGTCATTTTACGTGGTCAAAGGGTAAACATGTACTTTCATCATATTTGGAGTGCCATTTTTAAGTTTGTAAACTTAAGGGGTTTCATTGTCTAAAAAAGGACTAACTTATATATGTTTGTCAATACGACAAACCTTAGGGGTTGTTATTGTAATTAACCCATAAATTTTTTACATATTACAATTTTATTAAATTAATTTGATAATTTATTTCATTATAGTCTTGAAGCATAATTCAATTATTATAATCATAAAACCTAATTAAGCACAACTCTGGTGGAGCCCATTAAGGGAGATTTAAATCCTCTCAATTAACTTTTCTTTTTTTTTTTTTTTATTTTTATTTTCCGAAAGCCCTCGTTAAGGACCCTATTTCCGGGGAAGTGTTGGTGGCGGCGGAGGATAGGGAAGGTTGGGGATGGGAAAGCATGGAAAGAAGCAGAAAAGCCATCGCCAACACAAACTCGGCGGAGGGACCTCTTACAACCCTGAAGAAGAAGAAGACACTCCTCATGATTTTTACTTCAATAATGACAATGATAATGAACAAAACCCACTTAGCTCTCCCTCTTCGTTTGCTTCCAAACTCATTCTCTCTGACGATGAAATACAGTCAGCCGAAGACGAGAAAGAGAAAGAAGAGGATAAAAATGACACGAATCCATCAAAGGGTGATGCCCCATCTAAGTTCTCACTCTATCAACAGTCTGTACAGGTGACCCACTAACTACAATCTTTCAATTTCTCAAAAAAAAAATTCAGTATCTGTTCTTTGGAAATGAATTTCCTCTGCAATATGTTTATCTATATATGTGTGTGTATGTATGCATTATACACAATGGTATGATCGACCCAATTGAAAGAAAAGTGCAACAACTGAAGAACCCAAAGAATTGGCAGATAAAAATTAAAGAACACTCTAAAAAATTACTACAAAGACTCCCAAGAAAATTGCAGAGCTGATGGCAGTTGAAACCTTGGAATTGTTGATGCTATATATATATATATATATATTCAAGGTGAATTAATTGATCTGTTGTTCATTGCAGTCGCCAAAAGGAGACATAAGTTATCTGCAGAAGTTCTTTCTTATGTATGTAGGAGGGAGGTTGCCCCTTCATCTCCAGGAAGATTTCTGTGGCACTGCTCTTCTTAGGTAAAGATTATGGCACCCTTTTTTATTATGGGGTCTAATTTTATCTTGTTGAATATGTATCTTCTTTGTGCCTTATATATGGTTTTCCATTAATAATGAATGTAATTTTGTTGGAACAAGAAAAAATTGAACACATCTGAACATGAATATAGTTTCCGTCACATATTCTACTAGTTTGGGGCTTGATTTAAAGCTAGTTTTGGCTTGGTTTTTGCAATGCTTAGTGTTGATGCGAAACTGAAACTTAGCTGTTTGATAAAACACGTACTGGTCATCATATTTTGCGTGTATACTTTATTAATCTATGTAGTCCATCATATGGTCATCCTTCCACTTAATTATAACAACCAGAAAATGAACTTCTTCATGAATGTTGTGATGCAATAGCTTCAGCTTCTGATAGTTGTAACTTGTATGTGGATTTTCATCTTATCGCTCTTTGAACATGAACTGGCAGCTTATGTGGGTTAGGGAGCCTGGTTCAATAAACATATAGGCTTAAGGACTTTATTTGCTTCATGATTGTAATACAGATTTCAAATTTCCAGATGTTGCAATACAGTTTCATTATTCATCAACTTATTATATTTTGAGTCCAGTTATTGGTGTTTGGTTTATGGCAGGCGACTTCAATTCTGGCTTATGGCTATTTCTTAGTAGTTAGTGCTTGCACCATGTACATAGCTTAAAAGTGGTGGCTGAAAGTCATTAAACTGCCTAGCTGCAATGTAGGGTCCATCAGAAGTTCTAACACTCTACTTATTATATGTGTTTCACAGTACAGAATGGCTTTGTACTGATGCCAGGCGGACTGCAGTGGGATTAGATTTGGACCTTGAGGCGCTTAATTGGTGCATGGAAAACAACGTAAAGGCCGATGGCTACTCTCGGATATCCCTGTTTCATGGCAATGTTTTGCAATCTCTTGAGGCCATATTAGTGAAGTATGACACCCAGTATCTCTTGGGACCAATTGCACCGGAAGATGATGAAGATTCAGAGACAGTTCCACTGGATTCTACTAGAGAGGGAAGCCGTAGTGCTTGTATGAATAATAAGTTCATGAAGGACTTTCCATTGCCCGCAAGAGATATTGTATGCGCTTTTAACTACAGCTGTTGTTGTCTCCATAGTCGTAGGGAGCTGGTTTCATATTTCAAGCATGCTTTTAATGCCTTGTCTAAGAAAGGTGGTATATTTGTCATGGATTTATATGGAGGCACATCATCAGAGTGTGAGCTAAGGTTGCAGAGGAGATTTCCCAATTTCACGGTATCTTCTGCCTCATCCACAAGCCTTTTAGATATCATAGTGTCAGCTCTAAGCATATTCGTGATACAGTTTTACACTTTGGTTAATGTCTTAGAGCAATGCTCAGGATTGGAAGGGTACCAATTTTTTTTTTTAAATGATTGATACACATTTATACTTGTTGCTGTAATGAAATGGACAGCAGCTGACTCATCAGAATATGAAGCAATACATGTCAAGTTTGTTGAGAATACTTCTCTTCATTAGTCAGCACCTTAATTTATGGCCCATCTAGTAACTTGTTCCCAATTACCATCTACAGGACTTACATTTCTGAATCTTGACGTTCGAAAAATATATTAATGGAAACATAAATCTATTATAATTGTAAACTCAATTATTTTCTGTCATTAGTCATCCTGAGACTCATAGTCACTCCTCCAATTATGCATTTTTCAGCTGTTGACCTTCCAGTACCCCTTTAGTCTGATTCTCAGTGGTGCTCTTAATCTCACTGTCTGAGTAGTCCAAAATTCTCAAAAAGGGATTTTGATTAAACAAGGGATATGGTACACAAATGTGATGTAAGCCGAAACCTTCTTTAACTAATTAACACCTGAAATCTAGATCTCTCCTTGTAGCATGATAAGATGAACCAAATCAACTGAAGGAAATTTCACCACCTGTGTTTGTTCTAGTGTTCGTTCGTATTAAGTCTGATTGTTTTAAGTACCCTGCTTACATTATCTATTGCTAGGAAGTGGGAACATGCAAGGAATTACTTGTAGATTGCCCTCCCTCTTAGAACAGAGAAGTCTAATTTTTTCTCTCTGTGTCCCTTCATATGCATAAAGCCTTTTGTTCATAATTGTAAATTCTAATTCGTTTGAAATTTTGAATTTTAATTAAGTTTACTATCAAATTCTTCAGTATGTCTGGGAGCAAACTGGATTTGACGTCATTCAACGCAAAACAAGAATTAGCCTCCATTTTCATCTTGGCAAGCAGCAAAAAAAACTTCGCCATGCATTTTCATACAGCTGGAGACTGTAAGTAGTGTTGCCTTCTCATTAAGATGTGATTTTACCTCTCTGGCTCTATAATGGCCTATTGCTATTGAGCTTTGTTACAGCTAGCGGAAGTGAAATTCCATGTTTAGGATGAAGTTTGAAATTATTAAAAGATGTTGCTTATGTGACCAGATGGTCACTACCTGAGATTAAAGACTGCTTAGAAGAGGCTGGGTTTCGATCTGTCCATTTTTGGATCCGACAGATGCCTGACGCTGAAGAAATCAGAAGCAGAAAGGGAATGGATCTTGGTCGAGAAGTGAAATATGAAGAAGTCTCGAGTTTCGAGCAGCAAGATTCATGGAATGCTTATATTGTTGGTGTTGCTTAGCAATTGCTCAATTCCATCTTCACGAAATTAATTTTCAGCTGAAGTCATGTTAGTAGTTAGAAGCAGATGAAAAAATGTCTGCTTAAAAATCAGGTAATGAATTTTATTTATTTATTTATTTTACGTTCTAAACCTTTCTTAACCTTTACTGATGATTCCATCTACAGTACTCAAGTTTAAAATTGTATGATAGATGCTATGTTTTCATAAAATATAACAAATTAATTGCAGCTATATGCCAGAAACTGCAATTTTAGTATTTCTTTGCCATGCCAAATATAGAAATATATGCATGTTGTTACACACATTGCAGTTGAGATAGTTTATGCCAAAGAATTTCTAATTTAATTTGAAAGAACAATACTTCGCTAGCCCAATCTCTAATGACCTATTGATGTGGTTCAATCATAAATGCATACGTTGGCTATGATTACAAAATTTAGAAAGTGATAAATAAGGAAATCTGAGAGATGATGCAAATTTATTCTAAAAATGCCATGTGCAATGCATATGTCTAAATTTGTAACCAAATAGTGACCTATAGCCCTTATTTGATCTTTTTTTTTTTTTTTCAGACTTAACGAACTTATTATAGACCTAAAAAAAAAAAAACCTTAAGAGTGATATATGCCCAAAATTTAAACATTAGGGTATTTTTCTTACTTTGCCTTTATAAATATATATATGGAATATATGTGCATGCATATGACTGTATGTCCATATACAGTCATATACATCTAAGTTCAATTACTCTAAATCCTGTAGGTATAGATCATCAAGGTTATTTTAACCAAAAAAAATAAATAAAAAATGCTTTCTTGCACGCACAAACATCTTTGATTCGGCAGATGACACTTTTAGGAGGCATGGATTGAGGCTGTTCATCAGAATCCAAACCTAAAGAAAAAACATATATTATACTACTTGCAAGTTGCAAAGATTGGAATATTTCATAGCCAACCTACATGACACTGTCAAAGATATATATATATATATATATATATATATATATATATATATATATATATATATAAGTTTACAGCTAGACAAATATATTTTAGCTTAAAGGATCTGTAATACAGACTCTCTCAAATTTAATGTGTGGATATTTGAATTGTGCATTTTGCATTTATTGATATAAAAGGAAAGTGCTTATTTTACAAGCAGACTTGGTAAGGGCTGTGACCTGTACGTGCTTTTAGAGGTTAATTAGTTTTCAGCTAATGACTTATTTATTAGTCTAATTACTCGTTTTAGGTCCTAATTTTTTTTGTTAAACTTTGTTTTAGGTCCTAACGACTTACTATATTTTACTCATTTTAGGTGTCTCAACTCTCACCCATATAATAAATACCGAATTAGTAATTATGAAGATAATAAAAGTTAGATGCCTCCAATATATAAGCTGGAAATACACTCTTTAATGCATTTTTACCATTGTTAGGAACCATTGTTTCATCCAGAAAATAAAAAAAAATTATTACATGGTCCAATACCACGAATACCTTATTTTAGGCTCCACTTTTGGCCATCATGGGTCTCAATTGTTTCATTTTACGAAATAAGTCTAACAAATAGGCGTAAGAATCTTTTTCCAATAGCATGGAGTAATATATTATGTAATTTTATAGATAATTGGGTCAAACTTTTTTTGAAATAGTGCATTGTCACGAGGAGCACCCTAAGCAATTTTTTGAAATAGTGCATTGTCATTTTTTATTCCTAAATTCGTTTGGTACAATTTTTTATTCCTAACAATGGAAAGAGAGCTGACTTTTTTTTTTTTATATTCCTAAATCTGTTGGTACAGATTTTGGTGAAAAGAGACAAGTAATGAATTTTGTTGTTTTGGTAAATTGCCTTAATTATTAAAATGGGTGGTATTAAGACTATTAAATTTAAAAATTAAAATAGATTGAGATTGATTTTCAATTAATGAAAAAAAAAATCAGTGGGTTTGAAATTAGACTCCACCGATTCAATAAGAGATACATAGATTTTTCTTCAATGATACAGTAATTAACATAAAGCAAAGGGTAATTTATACAAACCGTTCCTATAATTTGTCATAATTACAGGGACGTCCTCTCCTATTTAAAAAATTATTCAGACCTCTCGTACTTTTGAAAATATCCTACACTGACCTCCCTTCGGTGGTCAACGCCAATCAACCACGAAAATTGATGACTCAATCAACTATTTTTTCTAAAATTCCTAAAATACACTTGTCTATATAATTTAATATCATATTTAAAAGATATATACATATACCTAATATTATTTTTTTTTATATATATATATAATACACATATATAACCGTTGTGAGAAGCAACGGTCCATTAGGAATTGGGAGTTATTGAATCGAGCCATTTCAAGCGGCTTTGTTCATCAATGGCGGAATTTTGCTCTCTTTCAGCTTTATCAAAAGCGTTTCTGTTGCAAAGCTAGACGGGTCCGATTAGATATGCCTTATATCCTATGACATTCAAAAAAGCTATTGATGACTCGGGCAAAGTTGTTTTGCGCGGCTCTCATGGATTTCCCGAGAAATTCAGTTCCTCTTCTGGCGAAGATCGAAAGATGAGATCTTGTCAATTCGATCTAATCGGGAAGACCCTCGAGAACGAAAGGCTCTGAATCAAAACCCACCTTCAGATGAGGCTCGTGTTTTTTTAATAATATATTTGCAGACGCGAGCAAAGCAACAATTGCCGTTGAAGATGACTCTGGGGATGCCGATGGCGTTAACAACGTCGGGGACCTAGCTGTGGAACGTGCCCGTGATGAGGTAGTCGGGGCTGCGGTGGAGGATGAACTGCTTGAGGGGTTCTTGGAGGATAGAGGTGTCGGTTAAGGGTGGCGTCAACATGTCGACGGAGGAGATGGTGGTGAGCTGCTCGTCGGGCGGTGGTTGGAGGGTGTGGAGGTGGATGTCGAGGCCAGAGCTTTTGTTGCCGTTGATGACCTTGTGGAAGACGACGGCATCGTTTGGGATTGTGAGTATGGTGGCTTTGACACCGTGAGAGGCAAATAGTCTGGCGAGGTCTATCATTGGGATCAAGTGACCTCCACCCACAAATGGGAAGAAGAACATCTCCGGTTTGCTAGATTTTGAGTCCATGGTTGCCTAGAGAGAGAAAGTGAAGATAGAGAGAGGCGATAAATGACAGTGTGTTTAACTGACAAACTGATGTTTTGCCTACCTAATAACTTATAAGGGTAGTTTAGTAATTTCATATGTCAAGGAGAAAGTATTTCAGTAATTTTAACAGATCTGTTAATATATTTAACGGTCCGTCACAAATAACTTACATCAGAGAAGTTCATGTAAGATATTTTTAAAAATAAGAAAAGTTTCAATAATTTTTTAAATAGAAAGAAAATTTCTATAGTTATAACAAACCATAAAGAAAGTTTGTATAAATTAACCTAAGGCGAATGATCTACATCAACCCGTGAAGAAAGGTTTTTTACCCACATATAATAAAGAAAAAGCAATTTGTTTCTTATATTCTTGGTAAGATGTCAACCAGTTAAAAATAAAATGGTAGCTCTAAGACTCCGAGTTGACTTACTATTTGTAGTTGAATTCTAGGTCTAATTGTCTCTACCCCACCATTCAGTTTTTAAATTCTGAAATCTAACCATATAATAATACATAAAAAACACCAATTTTACAGGCCCTCGTTTGGATCAACACAACCCAAAGTCATGACAGAGACATCTCTCTCGTATCATTGTCTCCCCCTAAGCCCAGGGCATCCATACATTAGAGAGAAAACAATTCAGTGTCGTACATACTTAACTTATTACCCTACTACCCCTCTAATCATCATCTTCTTTGGAAGTATCAATCTTTTTAAGAAAAATGTATTTAGGGTGACAACTTTTTGTGATTAACTACGCAATCTCTTGTGATTAACTACACAATCTCTTGTAAATTACGAATGTTACTTAAATTAGGCTCGGGAATTCAAAATTGAGATCTTAGGATGCATGCGTAATAATAAGTGTTTTGTTATAAAGTGTTTTAAATAGTAATTAAAAAAATGTTTGGTAACATTATTTGTTGTAAAATTTTTGAAAGAGAAAAATTAAAATATATTTGGTTTAAAAGTGTTGCAAGTTTGAAAAATATAATGGTTAGTTTAAAAACGCCATTTAAAAGTTTTTTTTTTGTTTAAAAAAAAAATACTGTTCATCGTTATAGTACCAAATGTTAAAGTGTGAATAAAAGAAAATAAAAAAAAATAAAAAAAACCAAATTAGGGCTCATTTGGCATCCAATGTATTTTAGGCGTTCGTCAATACCAAAACAATCGTTTTGTTGTAAGAGTGTTTTAGATAGAAATCCGAACCATTTGGAAATGAAAATTTATTTTGAGAAATTCAAAATTTTGTTTTAATTCCTCTACTACAGTATCAAAACATCAAATATCCAATTTGGTGATATGAGTTTTAGTAAAAAAAAAAAAATTTCATATGTTATAAATTATTCTAAACCAATATCAGCCGTTTCAAACATGATATGGGTCCAAATTTGAATACTAATATCAAGAAAATAATATCATAACACTTCCCAAACATTCCCTCATGTTTCAATTTCACTATTCACTAAATGTTTCAACATTGCGTAAAACAAAGCAATTTTAATGTGTTTTTTCCATTACTACCGTATCCAACAAAAATAAAAACACCAACAATAAAATGCATAAACACCAACAATAAAATGCATACTAAGCAGACCCTCAATATGGTATTATGAAATTAATAATTACTAGATGAGATTGAAATGATGTATCATGCACGTAACAAAATTGTTCATTAGAATGTTGTGTTAATGTGTGATCCAACAAAAGAAAGTCGTCTCAATTACGACTAGTGCTGGAACGACTTTCCCAAGTAAATGTGTGACTAACAAATTCAACTGAATTTTGGTCATGCAACAAGAATGATCTACCTTCCCACATTTTTCTCTCTAGCCAGTTATTATAAACATAAAAGATTATATATATATATATATATATATATCAAAGTAAAAAAAGAAAGAAGAAATTATCAAGTTAATGTTTCCGGGTCAATAATAATGCATCGGAAATATAGTTAGTAATTCAATTCCATTTTCAATAATAAAAAAATTCCATTCTTTTTCTAATTTATATTTCTGAATATATACGATTAATAATTTAATGAGAAGCATATTATCATATCTGATATCACAACAGTTATTACAACAGTAGAGTAACTACCCTTCAAATTCAATAACCCATCTTAAATTTCCTCGTTTTAAATTCCCCAACAAATCTCAGACCATAAAATAGTTAGCTAGCTATGTGGACTAGAGAACAGCAGATATAATGATATATATACACACATATATAGGCAGATATATACACATTATACACACAGACACACACATATAGATATAGTTATATATATATATATATGTGTAAGTAGATTCCGAGTTCCTACTCGGTCCACTCTAACATATCAACGCAGGTCTCCTCCACAGCAGCACACTGAGCTCTTCGCCCCATCATGTTGTAGGTTTCTCCGCCGATTCAAGAAATACACTGCTCTCTCTCTCTCTCTCTACCTTTCTCTCTAGCTTTCGACTCTCTTTCAACGGCCTCCGTTCCTCTGCTGTAAGTCTATCTTCATCTCTATCTAATATCTCTATCACACATATATACAATATATGTATATATATCTGCATTATATTCTGTAGTTGAAGTTTGAGCAGTATACATCGATCTCTAGTTAATGTGTCTCTTTCTGGTATCAATAATACACCAGTAGTTTGAGCTAGGGTTCACAAATTTGTCAATCTTCGGGTATTTATGTTTCTGTAGTTGTAATTTAGATTGTTAATGGTCGAATGAGAGCAAATGATAAAGATGAAGAAGGATCAGATTCGGATAATGTCTTCAAGATCTACACCAACAATTTGTACCAAAATTTAGCGACGAGCTTTGATCTGTTAACTATGAAGCGGCCTTTGCGCCTGCTGTTGACTATATTGCTGCTCATTGTGCTCGCCACCACGCTGAGCTGCCGAATCGCTCTCCGTGGTGGTTTTCGTGCGATTCAGTTCGAAAATGATGTAGTATTGGTTGGAACACCGGTGGTGCCAGTGTTCAACAAAACGCTGCTTAAATTAGCAGAGATTGATCTTGGAGAGGCGCGTTTGAAGCAAGAAATTGATCATTTGATGGAAGGGAGTTTCGGAAATCAAGGCCGGCACCGGTCTTTTTTGTCGTCGTCGGGGAAGTACAATCGGTATGATGTTCGGGTGAAGCCAACAAGGGGCTTACCTGTGCAGCTTAGATCCCCACAATTTTATAGAATTTGGTTGGATTTTAGGAAGCATTTACACGATTGGTGGCGCAACAAAGGGTTCCACCCTGATATTATGTCGGAGTTGGTCAATCTGGTGAAGGTTCCAATTGATCAGCACAATGGGTTAGTGGGTTCAAGGAGACGGTATTCGAATTGTGCAGTTGTGGGGAATAGTGGGATTTTGTTGAAGAGCGAGCATGGAGAGTTGATTAATAGCCATGAGGCTGTGATTCGATTGAACAATGCGAGGACAACTGGTTTTGAGCCCAAAGTTGGGTCTAAAACGAGCATTTCATTTGTGAACAGCAATATATTGCATTTATGTGCGCGAAGGCAAGGCTGCTTTTGCCATCCGTATGGATCAACCATTCCAATGGTTATGTACATTTGCCAACCAGGGCATTTCTTGGACTACACATTATGTAATTCTTCTCACAAGGCTCCTTTGCTCGTTACAGATCCCCGGTTTGATGTGTTGTGCTCTCGGGTTGTGAAGTATTACTCTTTGAAGAGATTCACGGAGGAAATGGAGAAGCCTCTAGAGGAATGGGGCTCTTCTCATGATGGTTCTATGTTCCATTACTCTTCGGGTATGCAAGCTGTTATGCTTTCTGTAGGAATTTGTGATAAAGTAAGTATTTTTGGGTTTGGGAAATCAACTTCTGCTAAGCATCATTATCATACAAATCAGAAGGCTGAGCTTCATTTACATGATTACGAAGCAGAGTATGAGTTTTATCGTGATCTGGTTGAGAGACCTCAGGCAATACCATTCGTCTCCAACAAGTTCAAGTTTCCTCCTGTGGTAATATATCAATGACATTTCACACATCTAAACCTTTTTGCTTATATGTGCTTGGTGAATTGTTTTGTCCAGTTCAAATTTGTCTATTCATGTTGCAACTGTGGTCTCTCAGAAATTGTAGAAGAATCCTGTTTCATTATCAAACCCTGTACTAAAAAAAGATAGTTTGGGGTGTATTAAATGTAAGATTGGATCCGAAAAGTGCATTATTGAATGCTTTTGTTGCAACTGTCTATATTAGCACTGGAACATATTTAAAGGATAAACTTCTTGATTTGTGTCACTAGTAACTCTAATGCTAATTTTTTACCCTACTTTTGCATGCTATTGTAGTTGTTTCTAAATCTGGATGTGGCATTAAATTCAAGTTTCTTGTAGTGGAGAACATATTGCTTCCAAATTAAGTATGGTTGATTACTTGAAAAGGTTAAATTTGGATTGGCTTGTAGTGGATAACTTTATTACTTCCAGACCATAATGAATGACTGATTAGCAAGATATCAAAAAATTGTTCCTTATCACTTTAGTGGAAACTATTTTAGTGCCGGGGGGCTCGTGTTCGAGCCTTGCACCTTCCCCCTCCCCTCTAATCACTAACCTCTAACATTCTTGCCATGAAAAAAAAAAAAAAAAATTGTAGACAAGTTATGGGGTCAAGGGGGGAATGGAAGCTATATTGACAGGGTGGTTCTTATTCAAACTTTGCATAATGTTGCACTGATATCCATAATCTATGGCCAGATAGTTTATTAATTAGAATTTGTGAGAGATCTTTGGGAGCTCAAGAAGCCTTCAAAGCTGAATGGATGCTCGTCCTCTTAACAAAACTTGTATATGATTGGAAGCATGCAATTTATATATATTGTAGTACCATGTGCCAATATATATATATATATATATTGGCACATGGTACTACACCAAACATATCATATTTAATTTCCATTTATGTGTGGGGGGAATGCAATATACCATAATTGGACATTCAACTGAAAGAATTTAGGGACTTTGCTCAACAGGAATTTAGGGATTGTTTATCAATAACTAAAAAGCTTTGCTTCTAGTGTTCCTTGTGCTGTTTCCAATTTTCTTTTTTGAACTTCATACCATTATGAAGAAGTGTATCATCTGGAATGCTTGATTATTTTGATTAATGAACCTCAGATGTAGATGTGAATAATTAAAGGAAGAATTTGTCTTTTCAAACTTTGCATTTCACCCAAAAAGAAGGTACTTAATCTCCCTGTTTTTCACCCATTTTCGTCTTGCCTAGAGTAGTTGATGCAAAAGTATTTGGTGAGTCATGTTTTTGAATGATTTAGGATCTTGTGATTATGCTCTCAGCTTTTATTTAAACAGCATAGTAAACAGGTTATTTTCCAGTGTTGTCTCATTAAAATGGCAAACATTTTTTGAAATAACCTTTAAATTAATGTGTTCTTATTTACTTGTATTTGTCTAACGTTTAGATTAATGTGTTCTTATTTACTTGTATGTGTGTATATATACAGGATGCACTGGGATTCTGATTTATACCTCTACTTGAAGATTCCAATATAATCTAATTACACTTGCACTCTATCAGTTCTAACTTCTAATTGTGTGCTTGTGTCAATGTTTTTGTTTTGTGGGTTTTATACTGATTTTCTCCGGATTGATTGGTGAACTCTTAACATTAAAAACTCTGTATAGAGTTTTAAAATTTTGAAAGATAGTGAATCTAGTTTTAAAGTCATAGGCAATTGGTCTTAGTCTCTTAGATGTGACAAGTTTTTGATGCACCTATAAACTGTGATAACATGAAAACTTACAGATTTTATATTGCAATAGGCAGCTGAAGAGAACTACCCTTCGCTTGGCCTACAAATTTATTCGATATATAGTCCCCACAAATTTATTGCATATATAGAGTCCTGATTATTCATTCCAATAACTCTCCAGGCACCAATTATTAGAATTAAAGTTGTATAGAATGGTTTAATAGTGGGTATATTTCTACATGTTTTGAAATTTCTGTTGATTAATAGACTTTGGTCTGCAATGTTTTGAGTTCAGAGATTGGTCTGAAATGTATTGATTCATCAAGGCATAACATTTTTTTTTTTTTTCCTTCTATTTTTTCTTTATTTTATTTTGAGTAAAGATAGAGAGTGTGACAGGTCAGATAAATCTCATTAAATTTATGTGAATATGGGCTATTCCTGTCACGATTATATTAGTCTTCAAAATCATTATCCTTTTATTTATTTTTATATCTCAGCAAGAAACTCACGCTACCCATTTTGCCCTTTGAAAGGTGAGTAAACTCTTTGTGATCAAGAAGATATAACATCTTTCATCCTTGGAGATACTGCACAAACAAAGCAATTAACGCGGGCCTTGGGCTTTAATGATAAAAGCTGCCTCCCTTACTTTCTCGATAAAAACAGAGAACAGTACTTAGTATTACAAACTAAAGCCCAGATTTGGAAGTTGTTGTGATGGAACATTTTGGTTTTGGTTCTAAAAGTTTCTGATTTGGGGTCCAAAAGTATAAATCCGAACCAAAATAATGTGTGTTTGTATGTTTGTCTATATACACTTGTTCCATTTTGATTGGCAGAGAATATAATTTAGGATCATACTATATATATATCAAATCCATTATGCTCTACTTTATATATATATATATATATATATATATATATATATATATATATATATCAAATCCATTATGCTATTACGAGAAAATCAATAATTCGCAATGGAGTTAAAGCTTATGGGTCTGATCCTGTTTCAAGGACCCGATTTTAATAGGGTCACACTTAATTATAATTCGGATCACTCTTATTAGTTCAAGAGAATGTTTACGCAAATAATTCCTTAAAATTTGAAATCCCAACTAAAACATTTACATCTGAAAATATCTTTCAAATTGAACTTATATGGAGTATAACAATTTGTAACAAGTTGACACACATCACAATCATAATTTAAAGACGGAAGCGCCATGACAATTTCCTCAATTTGACATAATTGTAATTAAGGGTGAAACCACGTTAACTCTAGTTACATCAAGAATTTATTAGGAAGTTGTAATGAAGTAGGTGTGACTCGGGAATTTGAATTTTATGTCATATACATTAAATTGTGTCGTAGATAAAAGATAAAGATCGCGTTATAGAGCTATGGTATATAGAATTATCGTTGACCTATCTCATATAATGAAGTAGGTGTGACTCGGGAATTTGAATTTTATGTCATATACATTAAATTGTGTCGTAGATGAAAGATCGCGTCATTAAGCTATGGTATATAGAAATATCATTGACCTATCTCATATAAAATAGTTTGTACGTACCCTGTCTCAGAATTATAAGATTAGAGACCGTGGGGAGAATTGTCATACAAGATGTGAGGGGCTGAGGACTAAGTGGTGATATACACGTGTAACATCCAATCACATATTCCTTTAAGACCAAGGTCTGCTAGCTTAAGAGCAGCCTTATTGGACTCATGTAAGTTGAGAGTTTAAGACCCCAACTCCGTGAACATGTATCTCAACTTTAAATCCGAAATTTATCTAAATAGGTCAGCCGATCAGGTATGGATCTTTCTTACCAATCTATAATGGATCCGACTAAGATTTGGACATAAATTATTATAAAATGGATTGGGTCTTGTTATATATATATATATGGAACGGATATAAATTATGTTATATGAATCCTAAAACTAAATTATAAATTCTTAACTTGAACATGATGAACCTAATTTTAGGTTTGGTTCAAATGGTAAATCACTTGAATTTAATGCCTCATAAAATATCAAGTTTATGGTTTGATCTCGTTTGAGTCCAAATAATTTTTTGAGAGCCCGAGCTTCCTGTGTAAGAGGAACGCTTTGATTTTTCAAGGATTACTCAAGGTAAAGCCCGGATAGCCAATTAATTACCCAAAAAATAAAAATAATAAAAAATAAAAAATAAAAATCAGTGATGATGAACATATTGAAATACAAAAACAGGTTTAGCTAAAGCCGTGACTTTACTTGTAACAGTGGCAAATCAATCATCAACATGGGGACTACCAGAGTGGCCTAGATGGCCTAATACAGCTGAAGAAAATGGTTCTCTCTCTCTAAATCTCTCTCTCTCTAAATCTCTCTATTCTCTCTCTCTATCTTCCAGACAAACCATGATGGGGGATCCCATATGTTCAAAGTTGAAACATAATTTCCTAAAACTTTTGTAGGTGTGGTCAAGCCTACCTCAAAAGAAGCCAATTTTTTTTAATTCTCCTAACCATCCAAAATCAAGATAAATACTCGTTTTCATAGAAAATTGTCCTGATGTGGAGTTCGTTTTACACGTACATACCAAGCTATAGAGCACAAACTAGCTTTTGGGTTGTTGAATTAATCTACTAGTTATAAAAATCAAAGTCTTCAATGTAAGACTATAGAATATACATACATATATATATACATATACATATAGCTTTATCACAAGGCAATAATCACTCTAGTTAATGTAATAGTGATCATCATGAAGCCTCCAAGATGGACTCTCTCTTATAACTTCCCCAACTTACCTTTGAAAAGGGATGTCAAAAAGATGGCAATAAATATATAAATAGTACTGTACTATTTACTATTTAGTCCAATCTGTGAAATCATAGATTCATAGGAGTATTCATATCACTTGGTTCAATATTTTTCAACCAAAGTTTTGCTGTGACTGAGAAGAAAAAAATTAATTTCGTAGAAGTATTCATTTGTCATAGAAGAAACTTTTTCGAAAATAATATTAAATATTACACAAACCTTATAATAAAGAATTCTAAAAGAATAAAAAGGAGAAAATTATACATCAACAAGAAAAAGTTAAAGATTATTTAAATACTTTTTGAAGGAATAATTAGGGATGCAACTTGACCCAGTTGAAATTTCAAAGAAAGCAATTTTCAAATCAAGCATAGCTAGCTAGTAATACATTTGTCCAAATGGAGTCCAAATTTAATTTGGCTTTATATTTTTAACCTGCATCCAACCTGAGTTTTTTTTAAAAAAATTGGTCGAAATTGTAAATGTCGAGTTAGATTGGAATCTTTGAGCTTGTATTCGGATTGTGACACTAAAATTGTATCCCGAGGGTGAATTTATCTATAAATTTGAGAAGCAAGAAAATGAAAATTTGAACCCCTTGAACACTAAACATGCTCAGAAATAATGAAAACTCAGTTAAAAAAAATACTGGTTTAAAAAAAACTAACTTTTATAATTTTCTGAAGGAACTTTTTTTGTTTTCCAAGTTCTTGAGAGCGCAGCAGGCTCTTACATATTTGGTTCAGTTTTTCTAAAATTAGTTTTTTAGAATTCGGGAAAATAGAAAATTATTTTTAGAGAATTAGAAAAGACTATTATATGAAAACAAGTACTATTCTTTTAACTGAGTTTTCATAATACAAGTTTAAGAAAACCTGTAATAAAAAAATTCTATTTTCAATTTCCTAATACTAGAAAAATATTATCATAAAACTGAACTAAACATGACCTTATTATCATATAAAATCATAACATGTGTAGAGGAGAGACAGACTTGAATGTATAAGAAAAATACAAATCCAAATATATATAAATATTGAGTTCAATGACCAGTTAGCAATGAAGCTGACAAATTTTCTCCATTACAGAAAGCTTTCAACATCTCATACCTTCTTCATATTACTCAGAGAGAAGAAAATTCATCTGCTTCATCACTTCAAGGTGATCACCTTATTTAACAAACCACTTCAGACACTGTCTATAATAATAATACTATATATATATAATTAAAGTTATTACCATATATGCCCTCCACCTTGCAAGTGCTCCGTAGCAAACCAATCCCTATATGCTTCTCCAGAAACAATTTTTTCGAGAATTTTTTGTTACTGAGCACAAGCTTGGACAAGCCCTCTAATTCACTTCATATATATATATAGTTTACCTTAATTTTCTGCTGAAATTAAATCTTCCATAGTTAACTGCCACTTATATGATGATCGATCACTTGTGAGCAATGTCATCTTCAGAGCCAGTGATGCACTCCTTCTCATCTTCAAACCCTTCAAGAGAAGGGTGTGGGGAGTGGCCCTTTCCAAAAGATCTTATGTGGTCCTTGAGTGATCTCTTGTGCTTGAAATCCGAACCGCAAGTGCAATACCACAGCTTCCCGCAGTTCTTTTCATGGGTTCTCCAATCCCCTTTGACTGCAAATGTCTTCCCACACTTCCTGCACATGAAGGGCTTCGCGCCGTGCTTCCTCTTGTAGTGAGTTTGAAGTGTTCTGAAGTCCTTCAATGGCTTCGCTCGCGGATGGTTGATGTTGTTTTTGCAGCCTTGTGCACAGCAATAGCATGGTAGCCTCAGCATTGCTGCTGGCTGTGTGCCTCTAAGGGACTCTGGCCCTTTCCTATATTCAGATCCATGCCCCCACATATGCATCTACATGTATATATATATCCATAAAAAGGAGGGTTTTCTCATTTACTGATAAATCTGAAAGGTTACATAGAACTCATCTTTAAGACCTTCAATACTTTGCAAGAATCAACGCGGTCTTCATGAACAATTATTACATTATATGGAGTAATGGAAGAACTCAGAGATCAAAATAGGAGTCAAGCTATGTGAAATTAATGTGGAATGTATGATTAGGAAAAAGAATTAAATATATATATATATATATATATATAGATTACTCTGGCTGCTTTAACATGTCAAGTTACCCTCATATAAGTGATCATAAACAATTCGGCTCTTCTATGAGTTTTTTTTTCTTTCCTTTTTTAGATTTTGTATGCAAAGCTAGACATTGATACAATAACAAAGAGTATAAATTTAAATGATGGCTATAGATGTTTGGCCCACTAGTTACAGATTTAGTATTTATCCAACATACCAGTGACTAACTTGGAAGATAGAATGGCATCTCTCACTGTATATACTGTCCCTCCTTTATGCAAAATGAAAAGGATTTTGAAAACCTCCCAAGAAAGTTTAGATTGGGCGTGCATTACAATATTCAAGATTTATTATCAGAAAAGAAAATATTTGGTGGATTGAAGTCGCTTTTCATAGATGTATTGTACAATTGTCAAAAAAAAAAAAAATTGTAGTGTTCTTCGTTCAAAGAAAATGAAATTTTGGCAGTAGATTTCTAGAATTTAGCTCTAAGAAATCCGAAAGAGTAAGTCTATCATGAGGGCACTGTGAAAGCACCATCTTAGCTTTTCAATTGAGGATTATGGAATTGAGTCTCTCCATCCAAAGGTTGAGATATGAAAGAGATTGAGCACTCCCATGTCCCATGCTAGTTTTTTCCCAGTTATAATTCTTGAATGAAGACAGAATCTAACAATTAATATCCAAGCCATTTTAATGCAAATTCTAAACAATTCTTTTAACCTTTTGCTATACCAGAATGGGCCAGTTCTAAATCTTGCAAAGAGAAATTAATAATATAGGGACAAGGAGGTATATATATCTGTGTTAACCCGAAGTAGTAACTTCATAATTAAAATCCTTTCAGGGAAAAATAAATAAAATTATACCCAAATAATTATAAGAAAGATTTTTCATTTTGATTTTGCATTAAGATTACAAGTTTTTGTTGGCCATCATAAAAGTTTAATTAGTGTTTGTTCATTATGACCAGAAAAATAAATAAAAAAGGTACCAACTATATTCTGCAGTATATATTCACTAACCTGCATGTTATTGTACCTATTGAAAGTCTTGTTGCATATGGAACAAGCAAACTGCATCGGTCCGACAAGGATCTGTGCTGGTGTAGGGATCCAAAACCTACTCTCAGTGTTGAAAGTGCAGCCATGAAAAGCACTGCTCTTGATCACGGGCTCTTCTTCTTCCTCCTTGTGGCTGAAGGGCTTCTTCGCCTCGGCGTCATCAGAATGATCTCCTGTGTTTGGCAATCCTATGTGCAAGGCCACTGTCACTTTCTCCAACTTATTCTCTTCTTTGATCCCATTAATAGTACTCTCCTGCATCCCCATATCCTCCTCTTTCATCGGCTTCATATCGATAAACCGGCTCAGAAGAGGCAGGCATTGGATGGTTTCACAAACTTGTTGATCATGATCATGATGGTGTTGCTGTTGGTAAAAGAGAGGAAGTTTTAAGAAGCTCATCATGGGATTTGTGAGCTGATGAACTTGTTGAGTGACAGTACTGGATATTGAAGAAGATGAAGATGAAGATGAAGATGAAGAAGATGATGGCTTGAGCCATTCAATGAAGTTTGGAGCTTGAAAGCTCAAATTTGTGTCTTCTACATGATAGCTCCTTATTCCCATCTTATTATGAGAACAAGTGCCTTGTGTTAACTCTCTCATAAGCTTTATATTCACACTTTATGTGGGAAAGCTTTGCACTTAAGGTTGATTTTATAAAAGGTGGTTTGGTTTGTCTTTCGGGAAACTTTTTTGCTTTCTTTCTTTCTTTTCTCACTTTGGCCTTTACTTTGGAGAGAGAGAGAGAGAGAGAGAGAGAGAGAGAGAGAGGGGTAGTGGGGTTAGGAAAAATGACATGCAAAATTTTCAAGCAAAACTGTATCAAGAGAATCCTAGAATAGTCATAACATATTTAATGTTAGTTTTGGTTATTAATTTATTAATTGTTGTTATTCATTATTCCATTATTCATTATAGTGATGTATGTTAAGAGTAGTTATCATGGAATTTTACCCACATGTACACATTTCTTCTAAGTTGACATTGTGCCAGGGACCTCAATAAGAGGAAAATTAAATTAAAAAACAGAAGGAGAGAAGGGGAGAACAACTAGTCAATAGTCAATACCTAAAAGAAAAGTAGAGCAATATAAAAAGATAAAATATATTATGATCCTTTTTTAAAAAGACTAATTCCATTTATGATATGTCTATAAAGAAGCTTTTACTCAACAAGAAAGTATTTTATTGGCCAAGGTAGCCTCTGGTAATTAATTAGTTCAACTTTTTTTTTTTTTTTTTCAATATAAGCTGCTGAATGATCATATTTCACTGTGAAGTACAGTTCTAAACATTATGGAGCATATGTTATCTCTTCATTAATTTTGACAAAGTTCTCATTTTGAAATTTTAAGCAACTGCAAAATTATACATGGTATTTTTCATCCAAAGTTTGAAATTCTACTTTATTCAAAAAAAAAAAAGAAAGAATGAAGAGAACTTTGACAAAATTAATGAAGAGATAGCATATGCTCCATAATGTTTAGAACTGTACTTCACAGTAGAAATATGATCATTCAGCAGCTTATTGAAAAAAAACATAAAAATTGAACTAATTAATTACCAGATTTTGATAGGCATTTTCTTAATCAATTAATTAAAATGATATTTTTGCTAGGACTGTGTATAAATATGTATGCGTATTTGTAATTTGATATACAGGCACGGAGCTAGCATAGGCAAAGGGAGGCAGCTCCAGCTCCCCACCCACCCCCTCGAGCTGATACCTAATTTTACTTTCCTCACTTATATAGATACATAATTTTGTGAAATTTTGCAAAATGCTTCCCCTAAAATTCTATCTTAACAAATTTTTTTCTAATCCTTCCTTTCATATTTCTTTCACTCTCTTCTCCTCCTCAAAAATTTTTTCCTTACCCTTTTATAATCAAATCTGCGTTTTTCCCTTCAAAGTTCTCTTATTTTTCCTCCTTTTTATTTTATTCTTCTTCCTCCTCCCCCTCTTCTTCTTAAAATTACTTCTTCTTGCACTCATATATGATTTTATTTCATTTTTCTTATTTTGTTTTCTCTTCTTTACATTTATTAATGAGATTCTATGAACTTAGTGAGTACATATTTTATGTTTTTCAAATTTATGTGCTAGATATTTTTTTTTTTGTGAACGGTTCTTAATTACTGCACATTGATCGGTGTGGATTTAGACATGTTTATAGTTCAATTTTATATTTATAACCACTACTTTGCAATATTGTGAGTTAGGGGATCGTTCACAAGGACTATTGGTTTGATCCAATTCAAATTTAATGAACAAGTGATACGAAATAGAGGTTAAATTTTTCCTAATTAATCAACTTAAATGAATCTTATTAACGGGTCCGTAGCTTAGCGGCACCAAACTCTTACCTCCCAAAGGGAGGTTAGGAATTCGAGTCTCGGTGAAGGCATGTGTGTGTGAGTACCAATTAAAATATATATATATATATATATATATATATATATATATATATATATATCCTTAAATGAATCTTAGTAGGATGCAAGTAAAATCGAGATAACATTGGACAAGAGAAGATAATATGGAGAAGCTTGGGGCATGGAGTCCACCTTTAGCAGTGTATTCGTATCCTTACTAACAATTATGGGGAGGACAAGTGTAAATCAATGAATTGTGGCTATAAGCACACAATTGAAATCAAGAAAATACTACAATTGATATCAACAAGCATAATCCATCTAAGCTAGGCATGCATTGTATACCTACCTATTTATCATCTAATGTGTAATACAATTATGGACTATCAAATTGATTACAATTATATCATTAAGCTTCATTACATAACCATCCTCTTCACAATTACAAAAGGTGAAGAGGTTGAGATTAATCCAAATTCATCAATATACAAGACAATATAAGTATTAGAAATTGCTCAATTACATAAATTAGATACAATTAAGCTTGGTATAACTAAGTCCAATCCTTAAGCTTGTACAATCAACACAAATAAATCTCCAAATTGAAAACAAATATACAATTACTTGGCTTAAGGCTTCATTCAAATCCTACATGGAAGTTTAGCTATCCATGGAGGAGATTTGGATCTTCAATGTTGGTTGAATCTCTATCCCTAAGCACAACCAAGCCTTCTTCTTCAATCTTTTGAAGGAGAAAAAAACCCCTAGAGATAGAGTTCCAATCCTTGCCAAAACCAATTATATCTTCAAATGAGTTCACTCTTCTATTCATACATTAGCTCCAAGGCATGAAAATGGTTAGAACCCGTACATGAGACTCATCATTTTAGTGCACCCTGAAATGGTGTTGAAGAGAGCTCAAGATATAAAGTTGAAGAGCTTCGATCCCAAATTTAATCTATCGAGTTAAGTACTCAATCAATCGTGTTCCGAACAGTGCTCGAACTAACTCAATCGATCGAGTTGTATTGGAATCTACACCTTGGCTTGCTTTCTTAGCTCTTCTTCACAAATATTTCATAGAAGCTTTAAAGAACTGAATTTAGCCCTGATTAACTATAAGTAGGGGTGGCAATTCGTGTTGGCGTGTCATGTTCGTGTTGACACGATTACGACACGGACACGATTAGGGTTAACACGAACACGACACGACTATTAATTGTGTCTAAGACCCTTGACACGAACACGACACGATTATTATACGTGTGACACGACACGACACGCATAACCTGTTTAATAAATGGGTTAAGACTTGACACGATACGCAAAGACACATTTAAGTCATTTTTGACACGAATACGACATATTTATTCTACATGTTTTGTTAAATGGGTCATTTTTGACACGAACACGACACGTTTATCTGACATGTTTAGTTAATCGGGTTAATCGTGTCATAATCGTGTTTATAGGGTCAAACACGAACACTACACGTTTAATTAGCAGGTCAATCCGTGTCGACACGATTATGACACGAACATGATTAACCCAAATCCAAACTTACTTATCTCGTGTCGTATTCGTGTTGTGTTAGCGTGTCGTGTCAAATATTGCCACCCCTAGCTATAAGCACCTGAAATAGGAAATAAAACAAATTAGAACTACAAAAATAAACAAAAATAGAAATAAGGTACTAATGTATGCAAGAATAAAGTTCGAGATATACATCTTTTTGACACTTATCACACATCTTCTATTTTTCAATTTTCTTTTCTTTTCACCATATTCAATTTGCTTCCCTAAAATAAATTCCTCGTTCGGTCAGTATTGACATACCATTGATTATATAAGTAACTTTTCTTGAGATTATAATACTGTATTATTGAATATACATTTTTATTATGTTTGACACTACCAAATTAACACATTAAATTTAAGATTAAAAATTTTTTAGTATAAAATTTAAATTAAAATTTCTCGAACTCCAAATTCAAAACCTTACCAAACAAATGATAGAAACTTTTCCCAATTCAATTTTCTTTTTAATTCATTACAACTAGAGATGGGGATTCATTTGTTCAAACGAGGTATGATATGATGACATGCCAGTCAACCTTATACTTCAAAGTAACTTTTAAGATAATCAAACATCATTTGTAACTTTCTATTTCAAAAGCGCACTTAGCATGGTAAATTATGTCCACTTTTACCACATATATACATTATACACAAGCCACTATCTAGTGGCACATGTGAGGCCACCTCAACAACCCTGTTGATGACCCACTTATTAGATCATGAAATCTGTAATTGGTACCTTTTTTTAATTTTCTGGGGAAATTCTGTAATTGGTGGTGAGATTAGTGTAGAAAAACTTACCGACAAGATATGATGATGAGCGGATTTTCAGGAAATGATGAAACGGAAACGGAGGCTCAAATCTCTCTCTTTCTCTCTCTTTTTAACCTTTTGCTTTTGTATATTAGGGAGCACTGTATATGATTCTCTTCCACCACCCTTTCCCATTGTTTTCAAATCATATATACCCCATCTTTACTTCTTGTTTTTCAACCTTTCATATTCTAACATTGGAAAGCAATTTGTTGGACGACCCTACCTTTACTGTTTAACCCAATTAAAGTTAGAAAAAGAAAAAGAAAAAGAAAAAGAAAAAGATTATTTTTAATAAAAACAAATTTTAAAAAAAAATTGACAAGAAGGGTGAATTTGAAAGGTTAAATTTTACTCACCTCCTTTGAGATTTGAACAAATTATCTATAAGTAAATCATTCAACGTTTATTACTTTGGTTTCCCCTTAACTCATTTGTTAATGTGACTTGAATGTGAAAAGTTAGTAATGCCCTGATTATGTGATTTGAATGTGAAAAATTAGTAATACCTTGATTTTCATAAAAGGAAATAGCAAGATTTTCATACAAAGACCGACATAATTATTATTTTATAAAATTTGGTTAGTATGTCTCCCTGAGAGAAAAAAGTAAGGAGTATCATACCTTGATTTTCATAAAAGGAAAGAGCAAGATTTTTATACAAAGATTGACATGATTATCATTTTATAAAATTTGGTTAACATGTCTCCCTGAGAGAAAAAGGTAGGGATATCATTGAAAGGTAATTTTGCCCAAATTCAAGGGGAGGTCAATATAATTTATCGAATCTAAAAAGTAGTAAAATGAAAAACAAAAATGCTTTGATGGCAAATTAATCTAAAATATTTGTTAG